TTGTCAAAAGTTTGGGGATCCACTTTGCTGCCAGCTTTCCCATTTCCAAGTCATTGTGGATAATGGCACAAACTCTCTCACGTGATATTCTCATATAGCAATACTTTTGGCTGATATTCGGCAATCATCCATGATCATGTCATGGATGGCTTTCACATTTGCAGGCACAGAGACAGAAGCAGGCCTTCCACTGGGTTTCTCAATTTCAACACCGAAATGGCCAGTTTAAAAATTGACAACCCATTGTTTAACTGTTGCATATGAACGGCCACTGTCACCCATAGTTTGTGACATTTCATCATGGATCTGTTTCGCACCTTTCCCTTGGGGAAACAGGAACTTGATTATGGTCCTATGCTCTTCCACGTTGAACTTTTCTGGAGGTGCCACCATGTTAACATTGGACTGGAACATGAAAGATAAGTTAAAATCATAGGTAGTTGATTTTTGCACCATTGAATATAGACAAATTGGCCAATATACCTTGCAATTTATAGCTTCCTAGCTCAATCTTTTCTGGGTAAGACTCAATACTTATCAGCACCCCCTCGTATATATGATACAAATAAGAAGTAAGAACCTAGTGAAAATATGTTAGCAAAGACTGGAAATAGCTACTGAGGATAAAGAGTTCATAAACAAAGGGGAACTTTTCTGTTCAATGTCATGTAGATCACTGTCTGCAAATAGTTTCCTTCACTACTGCTTCAGTGAGTTGGAAAAACTCCAGTGGAACAGCTGCATTCCATTTCTGTTCACTTCTGGCACTGATCTGATGAAATTGTTTGCTGGTTAGCTCAGCCTGGAGTAAGAACTAAACTAAACAAACTTCTGGCTTGGGCTATATCTTTACTGGATCACTAAAAAATTACAAGTAAAGAAAGTTTTCGAGTCCTCCAGAGCTCTTCATTGGGCAAAGATGGTGGAAATTTTGGGATTAAAGCAAATAGTTAAAAATTGGATCAGATTATAATAACCAAGGTTTATTAATGGTGCAACTTCATTGGCAAAAATGCAAGAAATGCTACAGGATTTCTTCCATTTTTCTGTTGAGCACATGATGTAACAGCGAATTCAAATCAGCTCAGAGCCCCTAACCCATCTGTAGCTTTTACCTCCATTGCTTGGCTTTCTACTTTTTTTTTTACTGTCGGATCTATTTGCATCAGTTCACGCAGTGTGACTGGTTGAACAGATGCAGAAAACTGTGATCCTTTGTTCCCACCATTCCCCTCCAGGTAGAATATACCATGCTTTCCCTATTTTTTAAAAAAAATCTTGGTGCCAGTTGCTATTGTATTATGACACTGAGACAGGAGGGGGAAAAAAAGAACAAAATAAGGAAGCGAGATAAAGAAACTGTCTTGTTTATATATTGTTGAACAGTTCTTTTGTAGTTGTGCCTCCTGCAGTGCTACAGGACAGCTATGTTAACAAGATGGAATCAAGGTTGTTTAGCCAATGTCCTCCCCTCCTTATATGGCCAATTAATTTGACCAGACCTGGGAAAACTCAAATTGCCCAGTGCAACTTCACAGAAATTGAATTTGCATTTCCCTTGCTGTATAGTTATACTCTAAATCAGATTATTTTAAAAAACCCCAAAACAAAACAAAAGGAGATTCCACACCAGGAACAGCTGACAAAGGTATTAACAGACTATCCTTTCTCAACAGTCAAAAGTCTGCCTATCCCACTCATGCAGATTTGCTGATTTTCTTGAGCAAAGCCAAGAAGGCTTGAAGCAGAGGTATATGGCCATCTTGACTAGCAGCCATTAATAAGCCTAACCTCTATGAATGAATCAAATCCCCTTTTAAAGTCATCGGAATTGGTGGCCATCAATAAATCTTGTGGCGGTATCATGCACTTAATCATGCAATTCAGCTCGGGTTGATAACCTGGGATTCAAATATTCAAACATGGGGGGGGACCATCCTACCTATCTTCTTCACACCACACACAATTTGCATTCCTTTATCATCTCTCCCCTTATCCACCTTTCCTCCTAAGCTAAAAAGGTAAAGGTAAAGGTTCCCCTTGACAATTTTTGTCCAGTCGTGTTCGACTCTAGGGGGCGGTGCTCATCCCCATTTCCAAGCCATAGAGCCAGCGTTTTGTCCGAAGACAATCTTCCGTGGTCACATGGCCAGTGCGACTTAGACATGGAACACTGCTACCTTCCCACCTAGGTGGTTCCTATGTATCTACTTGCATTTGCATGCTTTCGAACCGCTAGGTTGGCGGGAGCTGGGACAAGCAATGGGAGCTCACTCCGTCGCATGGATTCGATCTTACGACTGCTGGTCTTCTGACCCTGCAGCACAGGCTTCTGCGGGTTAGCCCGCAGCACCACCACGTCCCATCCTCCTAAGCTAAGTGGCCTTAAATATTGAAACTTGTGTTTGTAGGGGAGCTGCTCTCAGTCCAGACCTTTGTAGAGCTAGAAAATATTATACAAAAATCACTGTAGAGCTAGAAAAGGTGCTCTTTCTCCATCTTTTCCAACTCCACAGCATCCTTCAGGTGTGCACAGAATATGCATAGTACTCAATATGTGGCCACACCACGAATTTGTATAAAATCGGTATGATATGAGATATTTTGTAATCAATTCCTTTTTAAATTATGCTTGCTATGGAACTTGCCTGCTTTATACTAGGCCAACATTCTCAGTAATCTCTATCACCGCCCCAAGGTCACTTTGTTAGTCACTATCAGCTCAGATGTCCCTCATGTACTGTATATATAAATGTAGGGTTTTCTTGTCTAGCGTGGGAAACTTAACATTTGGGATAGACACTTTATGGGTCTGGTACAAGGTTTGAAGGGGTTTTTAAAGTAAACGTTACCTCACAGTCCACTACCTATATAAGCAGATCTACTTTGGCTTTTTGACTGGTATTGGCTGTGATAAGGGCCTACCAATGGCAGGCCTCTAAGCCCAGGAGTTTCCACTTAATTTTCCACAGGTCTGCAGAATGACATTATGAACTCTGGAATTCTCACCAGAGACACTGGAGGAAACTTTGGATGGATCTTGATGTCAGGCTTGAACCTTTGAAGAAAATTATAGTATAAATTGTTGCTCTGTTTGGTTAACCAAATATGCTTCACCTACTAAAAATTTGTTACAAAATGAGAATTCTGTCTCATGTTATTATGAAAGAACAGAAGCTACTTGTGCTCCAATATTTCTGTGGATAGCATAGAAATGCACTTCTGTTGCTCTCTTGCAAAATGGTGTTGTTTTTGTGTGTGGAGTAAGTTCCCCCATTACCCTAAACATCAATGTAGGTAAAAATGCAACCTTAGAGAAAGTTAATACTGTATGTTGTTGTTTCAATTTTCAAACCACTCTGATTATCCCTGTTTGAATGAGATGTAACTGATTTGACATATCTCTTCTTGGTTGCACTGTTGTAATAAGATGCATCCAGGTTTTCAAATCTCCCACTATTTCAAATCAGTGAATATTTGTTCTGTTGAATTTCAGTTCATAAGTTGATGTTGCAAAGTATTATATATAAGCACCATAAAACAAAAATACAAAGGTTTATTATAGGATTTTATAACGGTGAACAACAGGGCTTCTGAACTGCCAGCTATAGGGAAAGTTCCTTCTTACTTTTCTTTACTGTTTGAATTATTAATCCTGCTGGCAGAATTTGCCTGCTTTTAAGTATTTTATAGTTCTTAGTTTTTACTATTGTAAATAATGGTGATAAAAATATTGTAGCAAACAGTACAGTGGCTCTTTATTATGAATGTGTGGACAAACTGAAATGTAGCCGTGAATAGCTCATTACAGTAGTGCTACTACTGAGTCTTAAAAAGCCATAATGAAGACTTCTTAAATTTACTGTAAAGAAGCAAAACAAGTTTGCAGGATGCTTACAAATTCATTTGCAATCCAATTAAATTAGGGAACAAATTCAATGCTGTTCTTTGACCTAACTTAGGCTGTGCTGTTTCTAGCATATGGAGATCAGGAGGAACAGCACTTCATATCAGAGTTAGTACATACCTCTTAATAATCAGCATCAATAAATATTAGCTTGGGTATTTATCTAGGAGTTGAAAACATAATTATATTCATTTCAACAGGCTGTTCTTTGCTTTATTCACAATGCAATTTAGAGGGAATTTGAGTGTGCTTACTTCCTGCTGAAGTCAATGCCACTTTAAGGCCCGTAAAATTTAGAGCTTGTTTAAACATCAGTTTGATAGGAATTTACCTGGACAAGTACTCCATATGGAGACATCATGTTTAAATGTTTTTAATTGCATGCAAACATTCTTGTTGCTTGACATGTAAACACTGCTCACGTATAAGTTAAAAGTCAGTTAAATGCAATACGTGGCATGTGATTTAGTTCACAGAGTGCTAGCACAGGTAAATCATCTGCAGTTGTTTCCAGAAGGAGTCAGTATAGGCTAAATCAAATTCTGGACCCAGTTAGAGAAGACCTATTAATATGAATAGGACTGATTAGTCAACACTAACTTTTAAAACTGGATTTAACTCTGTGTCTAAATCAGTCCTGTATTAGATGTAGATCCGCTACATTATAAGCATATAGAACTATGCCCCTGTACTTCACAAAAAATACTGTCACTTGTCACTCAACTTGCAATGTGGAGTGATGTTGCTTTTCCTTCTCCTTTTTTTCTTTGTCTTCTGTATCCATAGTACATGTACTAACAATACTCCAGTAAGTTATTAAGTTAGATAAATGTATGAACTAGATTGCGCCGATGGATGCTGTTTGCCAACTTTCTTGTAAGCAATGGCCACAAAATCAAATGTTGAAAGGTTTTTAAACACCAGTTTTTCAACCACTTGGGACTTATGGCCTAATTGTCACCATGCAATTTGCAGTGAGATTGCTTCAATGCTTCTTCCGTGAGGCCAGATCCTTTCTGACTTGGAATGGCAGGTAGGACTTTGCTTGTTCGGAGAGGCTCTTGTGATAGCACTGGTAGAAAAGAGCACAGCAGCTGGCTCTGAGAAAGTCTTGGTTTGGGGGATTTGGTGGAAACTGCTGGCGGCAGAACAGATGTGCCAGCCCTTAAGGAGTTTAAAGACAATGACTTCAACTCCTTGACACCCTGAGAAACCTGGTTGGATGACAGCTGACCTGTAAGAGAACAAAGAAAAAGAAATGAAAACCAACCCAGAATACAATAGCTTGTCCATGGACTTTATGTTCTGTATAGCCGGGGTCCCCAACCCCTGGTCCGTGGCCCATATCGGGCTGTGGCCTTGGCAGGACCAGGCCGCAGAGACAGATCTCCCCTCCCACCCAGCCCCATGCACGAATACCCCTCCCCACATGCCTGCACAGGTGCCCCGACGGGTGCCCCGCCCACTCATATACGGCCACCCCCACTATACCGGTCTGATGTTCAGAAAAGGCTGAGGACCACTGCTGTACAGGTCTTTTATGTTAGCTGAATAGATCAGTGAGTTAGGTATCTGGCTGTGGAGTCAGAGTTTAATTCCCTTCTGTGCATCTCAGAAGAGCCAGCTTGTGTAGACCTGGGTACACTGCATAGCCCCAAGATGCCCTCAGAAGAAGTGGATGGTAAACCACTTCCGAGAACTCTCTACGTAGAAAACCCTGAAAAGGATCACCATCTGACTTATGGCACACAATTATTATGATTCTCTTACAAGCTACCATCTTTATTTTGTCTCTGACTTTAATATTTCAGAGAAATTTTGGATGTGTTATTTTTATTTTAAAGGAATGACTGCACACATGCTTGAACTGGAGTTTCCCTTCTAGATTTTTAGCTCCCTCCCCTGAGAGATTAGAAGTTAAAAATATAAATGCTTGCCTTATATCGCTAGTCCACATGCATACAGGTGAACATGAAAGCACACCCATTATTTTACACACTGTCGCTAGTATGACTCATTACAAATGATTATGTATTACAATATATTATGTGATAAATATATTTTATTTTGTAGGACAAGATCCAGGACATTGCAGAGTTATTTATTTTGTCTAAAAGCAAAATGACAGTGCAATGATTCAACTCTACTTCCTACATAAACATCCATCAAAGTAGTAAAGGTCTTTGAGGGCTCTTTCAGATGGACCATTAATTCTTTTTTAAGTATCAAGTTTTGCACTGATGATATTAGAACTGTATATGTTATCCACATATATGTTTCTCCTATCTTGCTTCAGTGTTTTCCTGCTCCCATTTGTTTCTTTCAAAGCCATTTTTTTTCCTATAGCTTGTATTAGATCAGGGTGGAGGATGATGGCTATTCCCCCAGCATCAAGGGGGTGAAGACAGGCTCAAGTGTCATCATAGCCTCTGTTCTTTCAGCTTCTCTGTGCACCATCACCTCCACCACTGATGGCTGGCATCACCACCACTATCAAGGCAGGCTTATAGAAATGGCTATCAGATATGGCTTCAAGGTACCTTGAAGAGGCTGCTGCCTCTTTTGCTTCTGAAGGGACAATACTGCCTCTGCAGAGCAATGACAGGTGCCACAACCTGGCACTGGCTGCACCAAGGACTTTGGAAATAATTACTAATAATCTCAGCAGGAGAACAAAGAAGTCTCCATGTGGGACGTTCCATGCCCTCTTCAGAAGGAAACCTAGAAATAATTTTTAATATCCAAAATAGACCATCATTTTGCATCAAAGCTTCCCATTAAATATCACTCTTTCTTCTCCTTTTTAAAAAGTGTTTGCCTTCTCTGAGGAAGATACTTCTCTGGTTCATTCTTCACTCAGTCTTGGGGTTCAAGACACTGTTTGAAGGAATTTATACCTTTCTGAGTGGTCTTGTCTGCTTGTTAATAATCGGCTACTACCTGTAGTAGTTTACAGTGCTTAATCTTTATGTTCAGCCTTTTCATTAAACAGGCTGCATTATCATTTATATGCTAATAATATTCAAATTTATTTTTTTCTGTTCTAACATCTACCTGCTGGTATTCTTATCCATATAATTAACAGTTGGATTAGAGTCCCAAATAGAAAGTCACAACACAAATGGAAGCTGAATATCAATGAAACTTAATTTATCACATTTCCCATAAATTCTTCTAGTATTATTTTAATTCCCATTGGGACATTAATTACATTACACTGCAGTCTGTTGCAGAAAAGAGAACAGAACTCTTTTTTCACATTAATGTTTAACTAATTTCATTTTCATAAACTCTATGAACAATAGTTCCCTTTCTTCAAAATCCCCTGTACCAAATTTCTGTCTCTCTGGGTAGGTGGCTGAATAGAGTAGGAAGTGCATCCTTGCAAGCCTTTTATAGCAGCAGTATGAATCTCTTCACAGACCACAAAAAAGAGCATTTAGGAGCAGATCAGTGGTGACTCTGGGTCCACTCAATTTGAAGCCTCTTTTTCTTCTGATGTCCCACTGGCAAGTGGGAGAGGGAAATTGCAAGTATTGGGACTGGTGTACTTGTTTTCCCTTCTCCTGGGATCAGTTTTCTTCCCCCTTGGACCAATTGGAGATTTTTTTCAATTCCACCAGCAAAAGGGAGGGGGAAAGGAGGAGAAATGCAGCTCTAATTTGAGCTTGCTGGCATGAATCTGATAGGGTTTGGAATACAGTGTCTGCCACAGATCCTCTGTCATCTGTTCCACCTGGATTGTTTTGTTTTCTCTTCCTCCTTTTATAGTTTAGAATGTGCTGTTTGACTTGGACCCATGTTTTCATGTATCCCTTACCTCTGTTGCAAAAATTTCCAGCAAAAATATTATTACAAAGATTTGGCTACCTTGATTTGAATGTATCTTGGACTTGAATAGTCTAGTTCACATTCTAGGCATTTTTCAATGGGTTACATTAATTTTTTCCTTATTGGACTTTTTAACTTACCCCCTTTCTCATTTACCGGTAATTCAATTTTCAGTTCTGCTGCTCCTTTTTGTTTCCTCCTGCCTTGTGAGTCTAATTCATGTTGCTATATGTTTGCTTTTCTCTCAAATGCCTATCTTTTCCTTCCTATAATCATTACAAAGTGTTTTTTCCTTCTAAGGCTCGTCGTGTTCTGTAAACACATGTGTAGTAACCAATAATAGAGCCTTTAATTGCTGACTGTGGCAATTCAGAGGGTTATGTGTCTACTGCCTGAAGTTGCATAAGCAAGGTCCCTTTACCAGGGAGTGAAAGGCATTTCAGTTTGGTTTACTTTTGACTACATTGCAAACAAATCTGCGAACTCCCAGCTTAAGTCGATGCCAAACTAAACATGGAAGCAAACCCAACACACAAGGAAATGAAACATATAATGCAATTAACTGCACACTTTCTGTTACGTAAAGTGCAGCAGCAGGGAGACCTGTGCACCCTTGAGAATTTTGGGAATACAGAGAGGACATTTAAGCTGTCGTCTCTTGCCAGGAACAACACGGACAAAAATGTTCTCTTTAAACTATCATTTGAATTTCAAGGGAGGTTCTCATTGGCACTAATGGTGGCTTCTCTTGGAAGGAATGGCCAGGAGAGAGAGAAGTCAATTTACCTTCTCTATCCCATGTGGTCCTGGGTGTGCGCAGGCTTCTCTGTCCTTGGTGCTCAGATAAAGGTACACCATTTTAGTTTTACTGGCAGACAGCAAAATGTTCTTGAAAATCAAAACTTTGTTTCTAGTATTTTGAAATGATGCATTGTTATTGCTGAGTAAGTAAACTGCTAAGTGTTGTACCAGTGTGTATAGAGAGAGGATATATATTCTTCTGGTCCTTGGAAAATGCACATTGTCCTACAGAAACCCTGGCAATTAGCCCCTCCTCCACCTGGGGATAGAGATTTGCTTCTGCTCTTACTGTAACAACGTCCACTAATGAGCATCTGGGTCCCCCTGGATGTGAAATAGTAAATGTGTGCTAATACTGGAGAAACTCACAGTGAGGATGTGATCAGATGGCAGGGAAAGATTGCATCTGACCAGATTGGAAATGGTTGATTGGCTGAGAATGATCTACCGTAAAGCAACCCTTCCACCCATACAGGAGTCGCTCCAGCCCAGATCAAAAAAGAGAGTAGTCCTGCCGCTGCTTTAAAAAGGTCCAGTGTGGGCATGGATCAGGGTTGGGCTAGTTGGTGACTCCTGTGCATTGTGTGATCACCAAGAAATAGCTTGCACTGGACCAATCTGGTGACATCAACCTTTAACAATTGAGCATGATTTCCAAAGCTCTTGCTATGTTCTATTCCAGTGGTTCCCAATCTTAGGTAACCCAGCTCCCAGAAACCCCAACCAGCACCGACACCTGGTGGTGAAGGCTTCCAGGAACTGCAGTCTAAGAACACCTGGGTTACCCAAGGTTGGGAGTTATTGTTCTTTTCCTTTGGGTACTTCTGAACAGAGGACTTCTATTGCTTGGAAAGCATTGTAAAGAAGAAAGAATAGGAAAATATACAGCAGAAGAGTTGCAAATTGAAGGGCTCCTCTAAGCCTCCATAAACAAGGCAGTGCAGAAGGAAAGTCTTGTCTGGAAGCACCCTCGGTCACACAGGAGTATCATGGAGTGTTGGAAAATCATGTGTATGCACATGTCTATGTTTGTAGAGAGAGAGAAAGGAAAAAAACTGCCCAAACACTAAATTGTTCTGCGTTGTTTTTGTTTGCTTGCATGCATGACTTGTGGGTAAAAACTGAAGGGAAATTTTTAAAAGAGAAAATTCAACTACTTGCTCTTTTTCCTGTTGTGGCAGAGTTTATGTGTTAAGTCAGCATTTCACATGGGAATTAAATGTATCTGTCAAATTATCACATGGGAATTAAATGTATCTGTCAAATTACCATATTTTTCCATGTTATAAGACTATTGTCTAAAATTTATAGACTAAAAATTGAGGGTCGTTTTATATATGGAAGTAAGCTGAGGAGACTACAAAAACAAGTGGAGGGCAAAGAAGGGATCAAAGCAATCCCGCAAGACTTTGATCCCTTTCCCCCTACACTTGCTAAGCCCCACTTAGATTTCTTAATTTTGGATTAGAAAAGTGGGGGGCGTCTTATACATGAGGCGTCTTATACATGGAAAAATATGGTAGCGCTTTTCTCCTAAATCCAACCACATGTGAGGTATATGTGATCGTGCACAGTCAATTCTGTGTAGACAAGAAACACTCGGTTTTTCCTGAAACCTCTCAAGGAACATGCAGCTAAACTCAGGAAACATGTTTAAAGCATCTTCTATAGATAGTACTGTATTTTTCTGTTTACAAGATGACCCGATATATAAGACGACTCCCCTTTTTCTAACCCCCAAATTAGAAGATTTGCACGATCACATCCCTTTGATTCTGCCGCCCTTTCACGGCTGCGTTACCCACTTCCTAAGTTGCTTAGGAAGTGGGTAATGCAGCCATGAAAGTGCGGCATGCTCACACCCCTTTGATCCTGAAGCTGTTTCATGGCTGCTTCAGGACCAAAGGGCCGCGAACGTGCTGCCCTTTCACAGCTGCTTTACCCTGTGCCTTCGCAAAAGGCAGCGGTAAAGAGCTGCCTTCCGTGTATAAAATGACCCTCATTTTTTGTCTAATTATTTAAGTAAAAAGTGTTATTTTATACACAGAAAAATACGGTATCTATTTCTATTCTGTTTATTTCTTCTCTTTCTGAAGATGAGAAATACTTCAGGTCTACAATGGTTTCCTTCATTATTTTGTGGGATTCTCTTCACTACTTTAGTTGAGATGATGACAGTTAATAAAACAGGCATTTTTTTTTCTCAGTAGATAATTTTTTCTTGATAAGCAAGATGCAACTTCCAAACAGATGCACGTCAAGCAAAACAGGATGATCATATATAGTTGTACAGTATTTCTTGGTGGAAAATGTTATATGTTAAACAGCCCAAAAGCTGACGTAGAAAAAGCATTTTGAGAGCTCCTCAAAAGCAGCCCTGACAAGACCGACCAAACAGTAGTTCAAATGTTATATCAGAAGTCACTATTATGAAGCAGTCAAACCTGACCATAGAAAAGAGGTATAAAGAGGCTTGTAAGATAGAAAAAGGAACTCGTTGAAAAGAAATTATACGTTGTGCCTGTTTCCAAAGAGGTAGCCTTATTAATCTGTTGATTCGTTTTTTGAGCTGTTTTGAGCTGTCCACAGAATGCAATGATTTTGTTAGAAATATAATTTAGATAAATAGGATTGTGGCCCTTGATTTATGTTGCTTCAAAACTAACATGATTTTTGCATGTGCTGTTGAAGCTATGCCCTTTTTCAAGAAAAGTATTTTAATGTTGATTTAACATTAACAGAAAGCAAGAGAGAACTAGTATTATGTGTAATTTGTTTACTTACAAATTCATTTTTACTTATCATGTTCCTGTCTCTATTTTTAATATAGCTCCCCTATCCCCACGTGAAGCAAAATTACAGAAGAACAGTAAATGAGCAAAAAATATAATAATATTTTGTAAAGTAGTGGGCACAATGGAATAACTAAACTTTTAGAATATTCAATAGTACAATCTTGGGTTTAGCTACTCAGAAGTAAACCCATTCACTTAAATGGTGTTTGCTCCCATATCAGTTTGCATAAAGTTGCAGCTGAAAATTGGATGTACAAAGAAATCAATTCCATTGCAGCCAGTGGGACTTAATCTGAGCAAATATGCATTCATTCTGTTTTAAGTTTAAATGTATAAACTTTTAAATGGTGGTTTTTTTAAATGATATTGTTGCTTAGTTGTTCTAAACTGTAAACAACCTACTTCTGCTGTAGTTCTATTTTTAAGTACTTCCTCTTAAAGCTTTTTCATTTTGGTTTTGGTTTTCTTTGATATTTACAGTTACAGGGTTTTGAATTCAAAGTTTTCTGCTGATTATCCCAGTCCTTACTTCCTCTGTTCTCTCAGCTGTGTGTTTTATAAAGTTTTCTTTCTTTCTTATGATGGCTGGAAACCTTAAAAGAGGTTGGAATCTTAAATACACTTACTGAGAAATAGTCCCACAAAGCATCACAGGGCTTATTTCCAAGTCAACATGAACATTTTATTCATATGCTCCTTTTTTAGCATACCTCTTTTGCTATGTCTTCCCTGCTCAACAGCTTGTTTTGTCTAATAGTTTTCTTGGATCAGTTAATCAAAATGCAACATAAGTATGAATTGTATGGACATTTAATTTTTTTTCTTTGAGACTACTGGCTACTGTTTTTGTAGTAATTGTTATGACACTTCATGTTAACTTTTGGTGTTAAAATGATGATCAAAATTCTTTTGACTATCAAGTAAAGTTGCTGTTTTTGACGCTTTTTTTTGTTACAACAGTAGAATTATTAGGATAGTTTGGGAAACTCTGTTTATTTTTAGCCCAGAAAAGTCATGCAGATGTGGCAGTGTGAAAAGAGGGCTGCCAGCTAGATACTAACATTTTGCATCTCCATTTGCTGGTATAAACCACTGAAGCAGTATCCTGCTTGTTGGGGGAAAACGGTGATCTTGTGGTCAGCAGCAAAACTACTTTGCTTGTGTTAGTTTTGTGTCAGACAAAAATCCACATTTAGTTGTGAATTATTATTTAATACATGTATACTCCACTTATTGACCTTTCTGCCTTGACATACTACTGCACAGTAATACAGTTAATTGTTACTATACAGCAACATGAATTTATGAGTCAATTTAGTTTTGGCTTATAAAGATAAAAATTACTTTGTTTATTGCTTACATTTAAAGCTTGCCTTTCTTTCAGTGAGCTTGAGGTGGCGTACGTGGTTCTTCCCTGCTCATTTTATCCTCGCCATAACCTTGTGAGGTAGTTCAGGTTGAGAATGAGAGGTTGGCCCAAAAGTCACCCTGCAAGCTTCACGGCTCACTGGGGACTTGAACCAAAATTTCCTATGTCCTAGCACAATATGAAGTCATGACCAGTGGTGACAAACTCTCAGGTCTTTGAAATGCATAGAGCCACAGCATCGATGAAGAACTACAGCATTATAACCTTTAATAATGGTTGCTTACTACATGGTGCAATATCCATATGGAACATTATAGGATGTGGATCTTACTGATATCTACAGTCACATACGAACATGTAATTTACTGTGCCAGTGTTAAATAATTTTTGCAGATAGGACCTCGATACTTGGTGGAGTGCCTCCTCCCGCCTAGATCTACCCGTACTACCCGATCTAGCCAGGTGGGGCGATTGAGGAACCTAACACCGAGGGAGGCCCGGAAGGAAAAAACAAGACACCGGGCCTTCTTCGCGGTGGCTCCTTCTCTCTGGAACAAACTCCCCTCCGAGATTCGCTTGGCCCCCTCGCTGAGTATTTTCAGAAACCAACTTAAGACCTGGTTGTTCAGACAGGCCTTCCCTCTAGGCACTACTTAACTTCTCTGTTCATCCCATCTTGAACTATTGCTGTCTTGTATATCGTTGAAAAACTGTTAATATCTATTTTGAATTGTTTTTATCTTGTATGTTGTGAGCCGCCCAGAGTAGACTATGTCTAGATGGGCAGCATATAAATGCAACAAACAAACAAACAAACAAACAAACAAACAAACATCTTGAAGCACCTGCACACAGAGAACTTTCTTCAGATAACATAATATGAGACTTGAATGGAACTATGGACAACCACAACAGCAACACTGAATACCTCATACATGCAGTAGAGCTGGCAGTAAATTATTCTGAAAAGCACAAAAAAACGTAGTCTTGCAATGGCGTAAAACTTCTGTTCTCGAGAGCAGTGGTTCCCAGCGTTCGTTCCCCAGATGTTCTTAAACTAGAATTCCCAGATACTCTGGCCAGCACAGCTAGTGGTGAAGCTTCTAGGAATTTTAGTCCAAGAACAACTGGGAAACCAAGGTTGGGAACCACTGCTCTAGAGACAGTATTTTTTAAAGATTAAATTAAAATTTAGAAGCTAGAAATACTTTGTAAAGAATAAAAACAGATTTCATATTGGTTTTATAACTAGCCTTACCTTTCTCAACACAGTGGTTTGGTATTGGAGCCAAGTTGTTCTTCACAGGCGTTAGATCTTTCACTTTAGGTGGTTCTAAAGTAGCCTGTTGCAAACATTTCCCTAAAATAAGGCAAAGAATGAACATACATATTATGCGTGTTTCAAAGAGATGTGATAGCTCAATAACATGCATGGTACCTCAAGGAGGTGGGGAGAAAAGGAGTGCCCACATTGAGTCTGCTTTCTGTTTCTTCCTTCTTCTACCTAACATGACAGGAGATTAATGTGCAGCCAGAATTCTGTTTCTGCACGTAGATAATAGACCATTAGTAGAGAAAGACTACCTTTTCAGTTACAGGATGTGTGCAGTTGGCACCTAATGATCAAATATGTGTGCACTCCTAAATCAAAAGGGGAACTCTTTAATTAGTCGCAATATGCTGTGGCCAGTGATGTCAGGACACTGATAACAGGACAATCAACAAACCATTTTAAAAGATTTGTCGTACCTTCCACTTCAAAATCTAAATGGCACTCACAGAGTTATATACATGTAAATATGTGAAAGTGACTCATACTATCAGACGGACAGCCCATGTGGTAAAATGCTATCTACTCCAGGACTAGTGAATGTATGGCCTGTGGGATTTGTTGAGTGCTAATCCCCATCATCCTTGATTAAAGGCCATATTGATGGGATCTGATGGATGTTGGGGTACAATGACATTTGGAGGTCCACATCTTCCTCACTTTGTTTTTGATCTACTGTACTCCAAAAAGCATTAGTTCTCCTGAGTTTTATGCAAAGAACCTTTCCAGACAATATGACTCTAAATGATCCTTTACCTAGAGATGCCAGAAACTGCATGCGTAATCTTCCTAAGGATAAATCCAACAGTTCTCTTAATTGTTCTTGTCTTTCACCTAATTTTTACATCTGTGATTATTTAAAAAGTCAGCTAGAACACCTGTATGCATTTTTGTGAAGATTTCTCCTAAAATAATAAATGTATATATGTGTTTAGTATACATATTTTTGTAAAAAATGCTTGTAAATTTCTCACTATTGAAAAAACAGAATACTATATGCTATTTTCATTATTGTACTGATGGGCATGTATGCTTTTTACTAATACACAATTTTTGTGCACATTTTGAATACCAAGAGATAACTTTGTTTTGGTCCCTTATGGTTCTGGGAAACGTGAATCATGTAGGTTTGAATGAAATATATTTCTGTCCTAACTGTGAATATTATGCATCTGAAAGCATGGGCTTTCTGACTAAACTGAGAGACTAGCACATGCCACAATTATGTTTAGCAGGCAGTGGTAATTTTAGGGTTTCTCAATCATTTAGATAATCACTAACATCCCCATACGTATATGTAGCTACAGTGGGAAAGCCAAAGTATAAATCTTCCTGCATCTGTTTTTGTTTCAAATCCCCCACCCCATAGCAGTGGAACTTTCACTTTTTTAAATGCTTGTGCATCAAAAACTGGAGACAATTTATACCAGCAGCAGAATATAATACGGCAATGCCACATGAAATGTAGCATGTTCTAGTAAGCATACAACCATCTTACATAATCTTCTTTAATCAAGTTGTTGTTGGAATCTTAAAGGAAATGCAGGAAGAAACTATGGACCTGGGCCAGATTCTCTACTAAATGACTAAGGATCCCGTTTTTTTCACTTGGAAGTTTATGTGTATGACCCCAATCCAGACTTGGACCAGCAAACAAAGATGTGGAAGATTAAAACATTCCCTCAACGGTTTCCCTTTTGGCATGCAGATGTACATGCACACTCAGTGACACACACATATTCTCTCACTAGTGTATGGGGATTAAAAACAAAAAGTAAAAGTTTCACTTTTGGGCGAAAACTTTAAACAAAAACAGATGTAGGAAAGTTTATACCTCTCCCACCTGCATGCACTAGTTCTGATCTGGATTGAGGTGATACAATTAAAGCTAAAAAAGAGTAATCTTTAGCTGTCCGCTATGTGTTTAACACACTGGGTAGTTCGAGTGTTTCTTGCTGGATTCCTGAAAGTCAAGCAATGCCAATGTTTTAAGAATGGCTTGGTGTCAGATGTCTTTTCCCTGAATAGATAATTCTTTTGCGGGAAAACAGCATAAAAAAAAAATCAGTGAGGCTGAACCATGTTGCTTGTACATACTTGTCCATGAATCTTTGATGGTACTATTTATAGGACAGACCTAGATATAATTATGGTACATACATATGCTACTCCTGTTTCCATTTCTACTTTAGAACTACTAAGTTCTTGTGGGCTGAAGCCCAGTTTCTAAGATTGCATGGGATAACACTATAAAAACAAAAGAGTTACATAATAGAAAACTTTCAACCATTGGGTTAAAACATTAGGAAAGAAAAGAGAAGGGGATCAGAAGGGCTGCTCCTGTTTCTATTTCTACTCTAGAACTAATAACAGTTGTATGGTAGCTTTGATTTCAGTGGGAACGGGGCATTGGAATGAAGGGTTCCAGAGTTTTCCATGACCATTGTATCTTAGACTTCAAAAAACAATAAGGAGACTTGTGGCAGCTTAACAGGTTTTATTTAGCGTAAGTTCTTGTGGGCTGAAGCCCAGTTTCTAAGATTGCAGAGAGATTCAGTGCACAAAACTCCATTCCAAGTAAAACTTTTTCTAAAACTGCAAACTTGGTTGTTTTTGTTGGAATGTTATTTGCAACCTTGCATGTTCTGTATTTTGAGTGACTGGGAGGGACTGTCCTGGGCTGGGGTGATTGTCTGTCTATCCATCATTAACCAATTATTCCTTTTGAATTTCCTTTTGAAATTCAAAAAGAGCCCTGCCTCTCTTCTGGATATTCTCTCTCTCTCTCTTTCATTGGTTGGTGGGAGTAGTTTGTTGCTTTTGATCTATTCAGTTGGTTGCTAGTATGTCTGCAGTAAAGAAAGCAGTATACACAAATATGTAATTTCAAGTAACTGTAAGTAAAGAAAACTTTTAATTCTTTTTCCTACAAACATCTTAGAGTGAGTTCTTGAGACTTGAAGTGTCAGTTAATGAGAAAGGGGTGGACTCCTGGGAACCTGGAGCTATTCTCCTCTGTGGGTCTCTGTATTTTTATGGTGTAGTAGAAGAGAATTTTACCAGAAATTCAAAACACTGAAACAATATTTACAACTGAATAAAAAGCAAAGCAAACCATTCTGTTTATTTATTGGCCCATAGTGCTTAGAGCACTTTCTGGGTGATTTACAATTTAATAATGCAGGCTACACATTGCCCCACCCCCACCCCCAGCGAGCTGGGTACTCAGTTTCCTGACCTTGGAAGGATGGAAGGCTGAGTCAGCCTTGAGCCGGTAACCTGAGCCCATTGGGATCAAATTTAGGTTGTGAACATAGCCTTGACAGTTTAACCACTGTACCACAAGGATTTTCTGATAAGACAATAACATGCCTACCCCTTTGGGTTTTTGAGCAGCCCCATGGGCCTGCTAATTAATGAAACAAAAATCACAGCAGAACATGAGCAGCATATCTATTTTGATTCTCAGCTGCATTTACATCTTGCATGTTCTATATGGGGTCTTTTGAAGTGGGCTAGTGTGGTCTAAACATGCTTTCTTGGGGTTGGGTAGAGGTCAGCTATGCCATGGGTGCAATCCTCCATTCAAATAGCATACTGAACCTCAAGCAACCCTGTTGGGCCTGGTTCCTTCAGCTGGGTATTTCCTATATTGTGAAATGGCTTAAGAAAACTAAACACTATGATTCATGCCTCCTGTTCATTTCATTATCATTTGAAAATGAAAAAAAAGAGGCTGTAACTCCCCCTCATTTGTCCTTTTTAGGTAATATTTTCAATCATAGGCACCTCTTTTCAATAAAGGATGCCAAAGTAAAGAGGTGCAGGAATTTATGTGCAAGAGCAGCCTTTCCAAAAAAGAGAGCAAGCATTAATTACCCCACTTAAGTTTGTTACAGAATATTGTTCTGGAAACAACATCCATGATATAAGTGGCCCTAAGGTAACATGCTTGTCGTGTTTGAGAATTATAGGTTCCGGGGCAGCCCACCTAAGGCATGATGGCAAGTGCAGTAGCCTCTTCCATTATGCAGGAACCTTGGCTACTGGCAGCAAAGGTGATTTTTCAGTTTACCTCTGCTGAAGTGTTGAGTCACATCTGGCCACTATTGAAATAACCAGCTCTGGAGAGCTATTGATATGGCATCTCTCTAGAGTAGCACAAGCCCGTCTAGAATGGCAGTAGTGGCCATAAGGAATGGCAAATTTCCCTCCCCTGCCCCTCTGCTTCCTGAGGCAATTATTTCATCAGGCTTCATGGGAGAGACCACCCTGATGTGTGCAGTGGCCTATGTGGGAGGGGGGGGTGGGATTTCTCAAATGTCGAGGGTGAGAGCAATATGCTGCTGCTTCCCCTCTCCCTTGATTTTTTGGGGATGATTTATATGAAATCAAGTTTAGTTTGTTTCCACTTTTCAGACAGACAAGTTGCCATTTGATATAACAGGGCTTCTCAGCACAGAAACGGTGTAAAAGCAATAAGCAAAGCTGGTATGTTTTTAGTTTGTTTCCACTTTTCAGACAGACATTTGATATAACAGGGCTTCTCAGCATAGAAATGGTGTGAAAGCAATAAGCAAAGCTGGTATGTGCAATAATGCAGCTCTTTTCATAGCAAGTATGATGATTATTTTAACCACTACCAGTAAATGCAGAGTGGGGAAAAATACCTGATGGAGAATTAGGCAGGTGTGGAAGATGGGGAGGACATAGCAGCACATGGCTGGGTCTGTTTGAGAACAATCCATCAATTAGTTTACTGTCTGAAGGCACTGTTGTCCAGATTTTACATGTGAGTATTTGGTTTGTGTCAACTTTCCAAGGGTTGTTCAAAGCTTGTCGGTTGCTCCTTTGGTCTGACAAATCATCCTCACTTCTGCTTTTTTGAGACTGATGTGTGAAATGGTGGGTTTCAGTACCGAAACCCATTCTAGGAGTTGCCATATGAGAAGTTGTTAAACAAGGATGATCCACAGTAAGGGGTGGCAGGCTTTTTGTTCTTATCGGTGGAAGGCCACTGCAGACTGGTGTGTTGTTTTCTGAGATGAGGTACTTATTGGTGTCTGTGCTTCTTCTTTTAAAATCAATAGCTGTGACACACTCCTCTGAAGGGCTTTTGCTGCTGGCATCCATAATACAGTCAAAGGTGGTGATAATCTCATCCACTTCTGAAGTCTCTTCTCTCTGAGATCTGTCTCTATTCTTGTCTTTTGGGTTTGCTTTCCAATCTCCCCTTTTCTTTTTGCAGGAGAAGATTTGGTTAAGCACACTGAATCTACCTTCCTTCTTCAGGAACGTATTGTTTGCAGAGAAAACTTGAGGAACAAGTTCAGCTCTTTTAAAAATTAAAAAATAATAATTAATGTTGAGGGGATAATGCAATCTGAAGTTTAGAACCTCTTATTTTTTTTAAGAAAATAGTGCATATTAATAAACCAAATGTTTTGTACAGATAAAGGTAAAAGCCCACACACTTTATATCATGTTAGCAAAAGAAAAGAAAAAAAGAGGAACTCCTCCAAATATTGTAGCACTTTAAAGACTTAAAATTTTATTTCAGTGTGAGCTTTCATGGATCAAAGCCCAGTCCACTTCCTGAGACAAAGTGGACCATGGAAACGCATATTGAAATAAAATGGTTAGTCTTTAAAGTATAGAATGGTATTTATTTGTTCCTTTTTAATATTTGTATACTCATTGTCTTCACCTTTAAATATTGTCTTTCAATGGTGTAAGCTACCTTGGGTTCTTTTTAAGGAGAAAGGTGGAAAAATATTTTAAATAAATAAATATATGTTTTGGTTTTCTTTCTTTTCTTTCACCAACATGCTGAAACAGACTAACATGGCTACTTCTTTGAAAGGATGAAACAGCTTTATTCAGAGAATGTAAATGCCTGGTAACAGGTTTGTAAGGTGGTCTCAACCAGAAATTGGTGAATCACTCCTATAACATTTGGAAGGAATTCTAGTTTTACCTTTACTTTTAAATGTTAGACTTAAGTGATAGTAATACTCTTAGTGCATGGATCCCCAACCCCTGGTCTGTGGCCTGCTGCAGGCCTGTGGCGGAATCAGATATCCCGCCCCCACATGCACTCCCCCCGCATGCATGCACGGGTGCCCCGCCCACCTACAAGAGCCCCCGCTCCTCCATGCATGCGTGAGCGTACACCCCACCCACCCGTTAGCATGCCCCACCCATCCGCGCATGCATGACTGCCCCCTTCCCCCATGCAAGTATGAGCGAGCACCCCGCCCATCCTTGAGTGCACCCCACCCACCAGCAAGCACGGGGGGTGCCCCCCTAACTGGTCCACTGTTCAGTGTGGACCACTGCCTTAGTAGACTGCTAAAATACCCTGAAAAGGTAAGCTTTTGAGTCTTTAGGACTCTGCATGAGGCTGGCCAACTAAATGGGTTCAACAAAAGTTCCATGATGGAAACTGAAAACTTGAAGAATCAGCTTAAGGTATCAGAGGATGTAAACTCACTTGTCTTCCTTCTACCATAAGAGCATCAATAAATGACTGTTTTTGCCTGGTGCACCATCTAAAATGAATCTCCAGCTATTTTGAGACAGGTACTGCCATGTTCCTTGGTGCTCATGCTCCCAGTTGAAAACAAGAACTATGTACAGTATTTAACATGGCTGTGTTTATTTCTCTTTCCACCCATGTTTTAAAGGAATCAGTCACTATCATACACTGTGTGTCATTGCAGCAACAGCTTGAGAAGACTGTTCTTTATGAAGTCAGCTTCTGGTAACCATCTCCAGGAAGTGTAATTTGTTGCAGTTTTATTTAAAAAGTGGTTTAAGTATTTCCATACTGCCACACTACACAGCATAGGAAATAAAGCTATTAATAGGAGGAAGGGCAGAGAAAGATAACATTTACAAGGCAGGGTGCTAGTGGAAGGTATGTTAAACACTTATTTTCATAAACAGCTGTTTAAAGTGTGTGTCCAAGATTGCATGTACAGTAACACAAACACCGGTTGACCAGTTCTATAACTGCTGAAACTTACACCTACAACAAAGTTTCAGTGCAAGATTATATGCTTTAAAAAATTTAATCTCACCATGTTTACGAAAGAAAAACCTACTTTACTATAATAGTTACAACAACTGATTTTCAGAGGTCTAAAGGTGACATCAGCTGACTGAATAACTCAGTGTGTTTGGTATCTGGAGCCAGAGGTTGGGAGTTCGATTCCCCACTGTGCTTCCTTTGAGCAGAGCTAGCCTGTATGGCCTTGGGCAAGCTGTACGGTTCCAAGATACCCTCAGAAGAAGGGAACAGTAAACCATTCCTGAGTACTTTTAAAACTAGAAAACCCAGAAATAAATCACCATACGTCAGAATTGTCTTGACAGAACACAATTGTTATATATTAATGGAGATATCAGTTAATGGTAATACAACAGGCATAGAAAAATTTATATGGTCCCATTTGGTCTCTCATTAAACAGAGCCTGCAGTTTTGTGAAGTAAACCCTGCTAAAGCTATCTGACCAGATATCACATAGGGTAGCAAAAATGTAAATCCACACCAGCTGAAAAGATTTGATCTATTAAACTGCTTTTACATATGTGGAGGGAAAAACCTATCTCATCTATGCACACCTAAGGCTTTTTGAATTTGTTATGTGGCTAATCTTAAACCAAATTACATTTCTTCTGAAACTACTTGAAAATATGTCGTTTATATTTTATGACATACAGTTAGTGAGAGAGGGAAGGAAGCCTTGAAGATAGTAGAATAGAAAGAAAGAAAGAAAGAAAGAAAGAAAGAAAGAAAGAAAGAAAGAAAGAAAGAAAGAAAGAAAGAAAGAAAGAAAGAAAGAAGTGTTAGTTCAAACTTCCCTAGCTTGCTTTGATGCAGAGGAAGGTGCAAGAGTTTGTAATTGCTAACACTGCAGTGCTAAATTTATTAAAATGTATTGGGTGGAATCAGAACTACAGTATACTGTTTTCTTACCCACCTTAAGCTCTGCAATACCTAGCATGGTGAAGAGTTTTAAGGATTCATAAACTCATGACATATAACTCATTATTTGGAATGCCCTCCATCTTCTAGCAATGAAGGCATAACTAAGCTACATCACAACTAGGTAACTTTTAGAATTATTGTCCAGTTGCTTTTATAACTACTGTACTGAAGACATTCTAAATGGTAGAGAAGGAATATCATATGGATCAAAAACCATCTTTTCTTATTCCTTTAAAAAAGAAAGTTGCCTTGAAATTTTATTCCTGTAACTAGTTACCTTTAAAGTAACTTCCATATAACTCATTATTTGGAATGCCCTCCATCTTCTAGCAATGAAGGCATAACTAAGCTACATCACAACTAGGTAACTTTTAGAATTATTGTCCAGTTGCTTTTATAACTACTGCACTGAAGCCATACTAAATGGTAGAGAAGGAATATCATATGGGTCAAAAACCATATTTTCTTATTCCTTTAAAAAAGAAAGTTGCCTTGAAATTTTATTCCTGTAACTAGCTACCTTTAAAGTAATTTCCATGCATGTGGCCCTCGGGCCGCACTTTGCCCAGGTCTGTCTTACAGGGAAGCAGCAACACAGGTGAATTCTATACTCCACAACAAGAGGGCACCCACTGCTGCAGCTCAGGAGAACCTCAGTTTCCAGAGCTTGTCAGAATGCATGCCTATGCCAAAATATATTTGTAGCCAGGCACTGCATTGGCCCTCGGGCCGCACTTTGCCCAGGTCTGTCTTACAGGGAAGCAGCAACACAGATGAATTCTATACTCCACAACAAGAGGGCACCCACTGCTGCAGCTCAGGAGAACCTCAGTTTCCAGAGCTTGTCAGAATGCATGCCTATGCCAAAATATATTTGTAGCCAGATATTGCACGTGGCTTGCCCTGGAAGATTGTCTGTGAAGCAGTGAGATGAGGGACAAGGAGGGAAGATTGTCTGTGAAGCAGTGAGATGAGTTGAGGGGCAAGGAAAAGTGAAAACTTTCAAAACTTGAACATGGAAATCTTTGTTTTAAATTCAATTGCCAGTTGTAAATCAATTGCTGGATGGCGAGTCAAGAGATATGTAATACCCACAGATTCATTATGTCTACTATGTTTGGCACTTTCAGTTGCATTCAGTTTATGAAGGCAATTATTACATGACAAATGCAACTATCTGGAGTGCCCCCCCTTTGAAAAGCATAACATGAGACAATTCACTATGTTCCAACTTAAAGTTGTGTTCACTCACAGGGGTGTGAAAATAGGGATTGCACGGAGGAAAGGATAAATCATAAGGGAAGACCTTTACCTGTTCTCTTGGGAGAGCAGTTTGATGCATAGGGTGTGCCCACAGTAAATAGCATATGTCAAGGGCGTGTTCTCGTTGATGTCCCTTGGGTTGTTGTCTACACCCAACTGTAGTAAGACCTTTACACAGTCAGCTTTTCCTGCAGCTGCAGCCCAGTGCAAAGGTGTCCTAAAGAACAGAAAAGAGGTTTAAAATCAAGAGAGGAATAGGAGAACCAATTGTGTTCATAAATCTCCTGTGCAATAAGACTTTTACTCATGGCAACTGTTTGTAGACCTTAGACAAGTTGCTTTTTTTTTTATTCTAGGAGTTCTAATCCAAAAAAAGCATCTTTCCAAAAATCTGATGGCAAGCAACAAAAGCACAGGCAAATGATAAAATTGCTCCTGATATGGTAAGATTTGCTGAAGCAAGCCAGATCTTCCCAGGTATTCCTCACCTGTTCTTGCTTGGCCTAATTGATTGCTGGTGTTATTAATTCCTGTTGTTATTGAATGTTTACTGACTATATATTTTCCACATTTTTACTCTATTTTTTAAAAAAAATCTTATAGGCTCCTTTGAGAAGGTTTTGTCCTTAAAGACATCTTGAGAACAATTGTTTAAAAAGATATAAACAGCACATTTCATTTAAACCATGAATAGCATTATTTTCCTCAGAAAATACAGAAAAGCCTTAAGGCATCTTGGTGGGTTTTTTTACATGTTTATTTGCCTTAAATTAGAATGCTTGTAAATGTCCCTTCTGTTTACAACAGGGCCTACATTCTAAAAGCAGAGTTGCTGGAGCGAAAGCCTAATCAGAAATCTCATTTTACACTTTGTAAATCTTTCCCTTTAATGATACTTCACAAATTTAATTTACAGGACACATCCATATTGTGGCATGAATTAAACTCAGATTAACATTTAAATCAACAAAACACTCATCGACCCCTTTAGATAAGACTCATCGGTCCTACATGAGCACATACTATCACAAGAAAAGGGAGCCATTCGCTGAGCTGTTGTTGCGTATAATTTCATTAGAGGCTGTGTCTCATTAGAAAGAAGCCTAACATGTTTTAACAGCAGGGTCAAAACAAGGCAGGCCCCAGCTAGAGCTCTGCCAATCTTTTCAGTTGGTTTCCATGGTCACCTGTCATCCACATCAAGGGCCTGCAGGTTGCATTCTGGGACTTTAGCCAGCTCACTGATAATGTCGCTGTATCCTGCAGCAGCTGCAATATGAACACAAGTCTTGCCGTTCTCATCATCATAGTTTATTATGGATGGGCCCTGACGGTGGCTCAGGATGATAGAACACAGGATCCGGTTCCCACTCTGAAAAAACAAGCAGCTGGCTGAAGAAGTCCTCATAATCCACTTCATATATAAAGATTTTCCTCCCTTTCCTCAAACAGTACATAAAATGACTCTATTAATGGTATTAAAAATTTAAAGATTTTTAATAAACTAATTTGTCTTTTATTTATGTATTTATTTCTTACTTCTGTATCCTGCTTATGTTCCAGTGAGCTCAAGGTGGTTTATATGGCTCTCATCCTCCCTATTTTATTTTCGTAGTGAATAGCAAGGAAATAGGATTGAAATAAATAACATTGAACCCTATGAGACATTGATCCAAGATCCCCCCGTTAGATTTATGGCTGAGTTGGAATTTCATTCCAGGTCTTTTTAGTTCAGAGATGGGCTGTGTGGACCGCATATAATCCCCATGGCCCCAAATGTAACTTCAGCACCCCTAGTTCTTTTTTTAAAAAAGCTTGTTTAGCCCTTGTGCCCTCTAGGGCATAAGGACAATTTTTCCATATTTTGAGGTGTTGTCAATATCCCTGTTCCTCCATACTTATTTTTGGTCACTAAAGACTGCAAGACTGCTTCTTCGGTAACTCCTCCTGCCTTTTTTGTAACAGAGGGAAAAAAGGATGGATGGAAATCGCAAGAGCCGATATAGTTCTCCAAGGTCCAGAGATGGGCATGTGCAAACCCTGGTTCTCCAGATATCACAAAACCTTGCCATAGCCTACCACTCTAACCACTGTGACACACTTCAACCAATTCTAACAATCCGTTAACTAATTTGTTCGTTTAAACTCAATTATATTTCACAAAGCACCAGTCAGGTTTGTATCTGAGAATCTAGAGGTAAGTCATGATAATCCCTTTTTTATGAACATTTTTTTGAGGAACTATTGACTGATAGCAGGGAAAACCAGTTTTTCTGATTTATTTTCTTCAAATGTGAAAATATTGAATATCTCCCAACATAACACAGTACTAGAGCTGAAATGGCTGCTAAGATAAATAGGCAGAAACAAAACAGGTTTTAATGAATGAAAACAAGAGTTTTGCATTGTTTTAGCATCATGCTAAAACCTGGCACTAGCATAGAGAATTGATCCCCATCAACCACCTTGTCTGATGCTGCCCAATGAGCAATGAAACATATTCTGGTTTAACCACATGGACGTAAGCCACTGTGTAGTCCATCTTGTCCTCTAACCAAGGTGAGACAAATAGCTAAAGTTCACAACCACAAGGTCATACCAACATCAATCAAACTCTACAGGCTACCCCCCAAATATAAATTTATTGGGAGGGTGGGCAGGAGAAGGTCTGAAGCTGAAGTGAGCTCCAAGCCATCAATGCTATTTAAGTTCTCAAGTAGACTTGACTGGAAATCCCATCCATATTCACCTGGAGAATTGCTCCTTCCCCAGCTAATCCTATTGGCAAATTTGAATTCTAAGGTTGAAAAGCCCTTACCACCAGTGCAGGGAGCTCTGTGAAGGAGAAGCAGCCTCCCTCTGTTAGATCCTCTGGTCTCAGAATCATTGCTTTTAACAAAACATGGCCCCAGGTGAGTCCAGGACCAGCACTTGTTGTCATCAGGGATGCTGGCATCAGCTCTGGTGGCTCATTTGATACCCAGTATTTGCCTAATCACACCCTGTGCCAACACCAAGTCCGGTCCAATCCCTTGGGCATGTCCAGCATAACTCCCTGAACCTCAACCAGTGCTCTTTCTGTCAGTAGTGTGTTCAATTTCTTTTCTTGTGTCAACCACAAGCCATTGTTTTTACATTTCTTGTCTTTTAGTAGCCTTGTGGTGAGTTAGTTCTTACCAAGGTGAATCACTTCTTTGCATTTTGAAGCTAACCGAGGGTGCTTGAACGGAAATGAGGTTGAAATTCTGAAAACAAAAAGTGACATCATTCTGTTCATGAAAGAAAAAAAGAGGGATAGTAAATCACTCTCCTTTTGATTAGTCCTTATAACCAAAGCCCTGCCAGTTTAAATTTCTTCATGGGTGCATGTTAGCAGTGTGATCTCTCGGAGAACCAGAATTGGTTTAACCATTACATAAACTAGTCTACAGAAGCTCTTCGAGTGGCGTCAAGAAGGTACGAGATCTAGGATTTCACAGAGCTCTAAAAAGACAATAGAATCCTATTGTGGGATTATATATTTCCTGTGCTCCCATTGGCAATTTCTGTTTAGAATATGTTCACCTAACATTATGGAAAGACAAGACAAATGAAATATATTTGCTATGAAATTGTTGACAATTTTTCTGTACCTGAACTGCCCAGTGAAGAGCTGTTTTAAAATCTTTGTCCACCAATGTTGGGTCAGCTCCTTTATGTAGCAAAACCTGGGCATGGTGAGGGCGATTGTGGAATGCAGCCCAGTGTAGTGAGGTCATTCCCTGAAAATCACAACACAGAGATCAGGGTGACTGGCAATATATGTATGCAAGTAGGGATGATTAGGCAATGACACAGATTATCTACTGGTAACGAAAAACCAAACCAAAACCGAAGACTCTGTCTCGGTATGGCATTCCCTTTGTATAAGATTTGCAATTATCTGCATTTTAGCTGCATTTTTAGTTTCCCAGTTAGATATTTCCTGTTTTTTTTTTCAAAGCATTTCCTCTTCTCCCCAGAGGGTAGGGTTGTGTGTGTGATATTCTGTTTGGAAGAACATTTCGGACATCTGAATTTGACACTCTTTTGCCAGCTATTGTACTTTCTGCCCCTTCCCCTCAGTCAAATATCAATATCAGGTGAACGACATCCCATTTTTTGAGATTTCAGGGTCACAATAGACAACCTTATTATGGTACCACAGAAGACAAGCCCTTATGTAAAACAAGTTTAAAATAACACAGATACAAACACCTGCACTCTGAGTAAGTAAAAACCTTAGTGTTAACTGGGAGAAGGGGAGGGGTGGATATTTAGGTATCAGGTTTAAGCAGGAGATGGCCGCCAGTATGTCCCGTTGCACACCAGTCACGTGATTTAGAAATAAAAAACTACAGCTTCTCATCTGGTGGCAATTCACTGCTGAATTTCACACTGTTGGGTGTATACCAGCAAACATAAGCAATAAGATTCTGCCTACCCTGTGACATCACAGAGGTCTATCTCTAGTTTCAGATTTTGGCTTTGAAATCACGGGTAATTGGATGCTGCTGATCTGTGACCTTAATTTAATCGGGATATGCAACAGCATAACCAATGCTGCGAGTTTAAATGTTTTGTTCTAAAGCAATTAGCCCTCAGCTTTAGACCTGTAAATATAAAGTACTCTTCCTGATCTGTGACCTTAATTTAATCGGGATATGCAACAGCATAACCAATGCTGCGAGTTTAAATGTTTAAAGCAATTGGCCCTCAGCTTTAGACCTGTAAATATGAAGTACTCTTTCAGAGCTCATACGATTTCTCCATGAGGATCTTTGTAGACTGCGTAGTGAGCACTTTTTACTGGAAATGTTTATATTTACCTCATTGTCCTGGTGATTAATTTCACTCAGATCCGACTGCTGCAACAGCACGGATAAAAGCCTGCAGGGGGACAAAACCATGTTCATTGTGTAAAAATGAAAACAAACTTCTAAGACAATTAGATCACACAATTTGCAGTGAAAATCAGTGATAGTTTTAACAGCACAGTTGACCATGGCTAGAATCCTCTTGCAGTTTTACTAAGTGAAATTATATAAGACATGGCAATTGAATTAATTAACAAGGCGCTGGTCATATGGCAATCACATAACTGGGTGTGCAACCAATGTTTTGTCAATTGTCTGCATTTTGGTGGAACAACTTATGCATTTACACTTACACTGGAGTAAAAATTTCCGATGGGATCTTGGCCCATGTTTTTATCTTCTTTTGTATAAGATCAATAGAACCTGAATGTACTTGACGTATATTAGATAATTCCCTATCTTGTTTAACACCTATAGTCTGAAAGTATAGAGACACATTGATTGTTGTCATGTATTTCTTTGGTCACAAAAGTTATTCAAGTTGACCTAAACTGTAATGTTGATTCCCAGTTCAAGGAACATATCTCTGTTACAAGCATTTCCTGTAGCCCTTTAATAAATGGCAGTATCCGGAATTAGTATTTTGCAGGGAAACAAACAAAGAATCTTCTATCATACAGTGGGTTGACCTTACCATTAGGCTCTGAGTAACAAAGGTTAAGAACCACAGCATTAGGCTGCCTGAAGTGGTTGTTTCAGGTGGTGGGATGCTAGCCCTTTAATAAATGGCAGTATCCGGAATTTTGCAGGGAAACAAAGAATCTTCTATCATGCAGTGGGCTGACCTTACCATTAGGCTGCCTGAAGTGGCTGTTTCAGGTGATGGGATGCTGGTGTGTGTGTGATAAATGAGTTGCTCCATTGTTGCCCCTGCCCCAGACTCAGCGCTTTGATACAGGAGATTTTGACAACCACATCTCCTGTCATCCCCTGATTATAAGGATTCTTTCAGAACTGGCAAACAATGTGTGCCATGAACTATGGACACACAGGTTTGTGTATGTTTGTCTGTGTGTTGTTCTGTGAGAGTTGTTGCAGAGGGTAATGAGCTGCTTTGGAGAAGGACTCTAAACTTGAGGTCTACAGAAAATGAAATGCAGACATACTGATGGTGATTTTTATATTATTGACAGTGACCATTCACAAGACAAGTTGCTGAAGATACAACTATCCTAGCATTGCCAGGTTAATTAGGTTAGTTAGTGTAATAAGCCATATTTATTCTGATTTAAGACTCTTTGAGGTGCTTATTAGTCAGATATTCACTCCAACCAATAATAAAAGATCTTGGGAAATCTTATCTTGTCCTCTAAAATCAAAGATGGTGACGGGTTTTCAGGACCCTCCACTGTATCAAAGAGTTATATTCCCTCATAGAACTATTTTGCATGCAGAGGTTTATTCCCTGCTTTCTCTGGGTAAGACTAGAAAAACATCAGTTTAAAATTCCGAGAGCCGCTTCCAATCAACCTGGACAGTATGAAAGGGCCAATGGTATGAGTGAGCCTAAGGCAGCTTCTTATGTTCCTTGTTTCTTTCTGTTATTATAAAATGCAGATTAAGGCCACGGTCACAGTAGAGAAATGCTCCCCCCCTTTTTTTCTTGTGCCTTCTGTTTCCTGTAGAGTTGTGTGTTGTGGTCATGTAACATATATTACATGGTAGTGGTTCATACTTTTTAAAACTGTTTCATATTTTTAGTTAAATTAGATGCAGTACGTTAATCTATACCCCTGCAGCATGGCATATCCCTTCCCCTTTTTGTGCATTTCTCTGCTCCCCTTCCCCCCCTTTAAAAAAATTGTGCAAGTATATTGGTCAGCAAAACACCCTTGCTGGCCACGTACTGATCTGGGGCATTTTTGCCTATTTCCGCCTGGATTACCCCCAGCGGTGGAGAACCCACAGCCCTTTTGACAGAAACATACCAATGTGCTGACATTCTCATCTGAAAATTAATTTTTAAAATTAAGGGAGTTGAACAATAGCTGCTGGTGGTGATGGGACTGCACACCAGATATAAAAGAAATTAATTGATTTTGTAGTACACACTCTATGGAATGTTGGTTGTACTGCATGATAAAATGCAGAACAAATACAGTAGTAGCCTCCCAGTGGGCTGGATCTGATGCAGAGATAGCATTGGGGGGGGGGGAGAGGGAATCGGCAATGATTGTGCATTGTCCGTACCCAAAACAAGGGTCAAAATGCATGAGGAATAACTTGGAACCATTTTGTTGGTGTGACCTCAGCCTAAATTGTGAAACAGATGCCTACATGATTTGCAGAATGTACAGAGGTGGCACAGACCAGCTTTTATGTGGAGTATTTTGATGCTGAATTTCAGTCATTTTAAAAAAGACACGTAGATCATGGTAATGTACTTTTCTAGCTACACATACATTTCCTTCTAGCTACCCATAGATTCCTTCCTTCCATCACTGTTTACACTTCTTGTAACTGCCATTTTGAGCAAAGATAAAAGAAGAACACAAACTGACCCGCCTGAGGACTTGTGATACTTCAGTGCCTTCTGGTAATGGAGTGAGCATATACAGAAGAACTAATTTTGTTGACTTGGGTTAATAAGACAGATGAAAAGGAACTGAGCAGCTGGCATACTTCTGCTCTGACCAAAGGTCTGCTTGTTACCATGGGGACTATAGAAATTTTATTTTGCAGGGATCTCTGTATATTACTTTTAAATCAAATCACCATTCAATTTTTAAGCATCAGCATAATCCCATATCATATTGATGATAGTCTCCTCTGGTTGCTTTGAATCCTTCCAAGTGTACTGTTTAAATGAAATGTAAAGCAGAACAAGGATGGCAGGAAATTAAAAAAGCAATGGACAAAGGAATTGTTTGAGAGAAGTAGGTGAAGCAGAATGGCTGCATGATACACTTAGAAGGATGTAAGATATTTTCATCAGAGCTAGCGGATCCATTGGTGTGAATCAAATACAACATTTCCTTCTGTCCATGGACTCTTCCTTCTGTCCATACAAGCATCTAACTTAAATTGTGATTTCCTGTGATGAAACAGTTAATAGTGTAACTTCTGACCCATTTCAAGGAACCAATAAATAATTATTATTATTAAATAATAACAATACTGGCTTTAGGTCTATATGCATTAATGCATGCACAAAACTTGCTGAAGTCAACAGTGTCTAACTGTATAAAATTACCCGCTGGATCATGGATAAAAAGCAAGAATAATTCCTAATGATTGTCTGATAAAATGATTTCCTGCCTCATATTAAGCTGTTTTTTTTTTTAAATCATGTTCAATGCAGAAACAATCGCAATGTGGAAAAATGGTCACAGGTATTGGAATGGACTGCTCTTTCGGTAGAAGATATCTTGATATGGAGTACTGTCCTATAATAATGGCCCTTCAAATAAAGGACTGATTTCTTTAAAACAGAGTATTCCCCCTCACCTACAAAGCTACAGCGATATTGCAGAAAAGTGTTGTTGCCTATGAGGTTTAATCACTCGTGATTAGAATGGAAGAATTCTGGACTTTCATTCCAACACCAGAACTGAATGATACTTACAACACAATGCTCCTTCAACACAATTATCCACTCTAGTTTATCCCAAGTTTTCTTAATTTCAGAGTGTAAATTTGTTCCAGGTATGGGTAAGCCATTCTTTTAAACAACTGGAATTTAGAACTCCTTGCTGACCTACTGCAGATCATGGAAGTATGAGCAAAGTTGAACCAGAGATGTACTTTATGCTCTCCCTTGCTATGAACAGTGATTCAAGACTACCAAATAAGTCAGGAAACACCACCTTTATTAAATCTAAATGAGCAGTTCTATGGAGACTTAAGGTCAAAGTAGGCAAAACACGCAGTTCACATTAGAAGTTGATAACCTCATTTTCTTATCAAAATGTGATTTTCTCAGAGATGCAAGCACAGGCAATCAGACTTGCAGTTTAAGCTTCTATTTACCTTTCAAAGACCAAATAAAAAAACCTAGAACCACTTTGGAATGCAAAATAAGATGCTGTGGAAAATCATGTATATAAAAGGTAAAGGTTCCCCTTGACAATTTTTTTTGTCCAGTCGTGTTCGATTCTAGGGGGCGGTGCTCATCCCTGTTTCCAAGCCATAGAGCCAGCGTTTTGTCCGAAGACAATCTTCCATGGTCACATGGCCATGTGACTTAGACATGGAATGCTGTTACCTTCCCACCGAGGTGATCCCTATTTATCTACTCGCATTTGCATGCTTTCGAACCGCTAGGTTGGCAGGAGCTGGGACAGGAGACGGGCGCTCACTCCGTCACATGGATTCGATCTTATGACTGCTTGTTCTTCTGACCCTGCAGCGCAGGCTTCTGCGGTTTAGCCCACAGCACCTCCACGTCCCTAGGTATAATAGTCAATAATGAAAAAGCTACATATTGGCTAAAATCCTGTTACACAACTTATAACACATTGTTGAGTGATGACATTAAAGGTAGAGGGTATTTTGTGGCAATTAAGAACTTCCTACTTTGTCCCACATAGAAGCTGTGGGAGCTGCAGGGTGTAGGGAATTTAAAATTACTGAAAATCACTATCAATAGATGACATTGACAGCAGCAAAAGATATTAGGTAATTAAAGACTTCCTTCTTCTGTCTTGTGGTTCCCATGGCTTCCACACAATAAGAGGAATTACATAGGAGCTGGAAAAACTGTGGGATAGAAGTAGATTGTTTTCAATTACTGAAAATCTCCCCTTGCCCAAAATGTCATCAACCTACCACAGGCACAGGTCAGACAAAAGGATCTGAGTCATTGTAAAGGTTCCCCTTGGCATTTAGTTCAGTTGTGTCCGACTGGTGCTCATCCCTGTTTCCAAGCCATAGAGCCAGCATTTGTCTGAAGACAGTTTCCGTGGTCATGTGGCCAGTGCGACTAGACACCGAACGCTGTTAACTTCCCACCGAGGTGGTAACTATTTATCTACTCACATGTTTACATGCTTTCGAACTAATAGGTTGGCAGGAGCTGGGACAAGCGACGGGAGCTCACTCCATCGTGTGGATTCAATCTTCGATTGCTGGTCTTCTGAACTTGCAGCACAGAGGCTTCTGTGTTTTAACCCGCAGCGCCACCACGTCCCTAATCTGAGTCATTACACAATTATTAAATTATATATAATCTGTGTCAGATTTCAAAGAAACCTACCTGACATTGGGATCAGCAGTGGCAGCATGTAATGGCAATCTTCCATTTTTATCTGGGATGTTCTGTCTGGCACCATTTCTCAACAGACTGAGACAGCCTTCAAGCCATCCCTGAAAGGACATCAGAAGAAAAAGGCCCAGGTTTGTAAATAAGGGTCTTAACTAGGGCAAACTGGAGAAACATCTGTTATTTTTAATGACAGCAAGTAAAAACAACTGGGAAATACATTTGTTACAGCAGTTTAAAGAGTTAAATCGAGTGAAACCCACGTCAGGTTGGCTTACTGGCTGTAGTGTTAAGTATCCATTTATCCTTCCGAATTTGTGGGTTTTTCTGAATTTTATAATGGAGTTTTCCAATAAAAAAGTAAGATAAGAGAAAAACAAACCAAAATATTTGCAAATTTCCCTGGAAATTTTTAGAACATAAAATTTGGTATAGATCAAAGTTAAGATTTAAAAAAATTGAAGATGGAGAGAAACCAAAAAGGAAAATCATATCAATTTTTACTCTTTAAGACTTTATAGGTCGAAAGAAGGTAAAGTACTGGCTTATGAATCCACTGTTCCTGATGTCATGAAACACAGATATTGCTAGAATCCTATGTACTAAGGGGAAAATGGCAGAATGGATGAAATATAGCAATAGTATTAATACCAAAATGGCATTTGGTTATTTCTGTTAAGTGGTAATGCACATGGTTTGGATCTCATTATTTATGTTTTTGTGGGCTAGAGTGGGTAGTTCTGATTTTTAATTGTTGTTAGCAGCCCTCAGTAGTGTTTGGTCACTAGATAGGTGGGATAGAAATGTAATAAAAAAGTAATTAACTAATTAATTATTTAATTTCACTATAGTTTACTAATATTTATTTTATCTATTTATTTATTAGATTTTTACCCCGCCCCTCTAGACAATGTCTACTCGGGGCGGCTTACATAGATAAAAACACATTGATACATTAACACATTAATATAACTTATATAAAAATACAATTATAAGAATTAATTTCAAACAACACATTTCCAAGATGGCATAACCAAAACTAATAAACAAACAAAAAGGATATGCAATATATAAAGAATAATTTATCTGGGTGCCTTTGAATGAACATTTTTGTTATTAATTGTATTATACGCTGATGCCTTTGAGTTGTGGTGCTGGAGGAGGCTCTTGAGAGTCCCCTGGACTGCAAGGAGAACAAACCTATCAATTCTAAAGGAAATCAACCCTGAGTGCTCACTGGAACGACAGATCCTGAAGCTGAGGCTCCATTATTTTGGCCATCTCATGAGAAGAGAAGACTCCTTGGAAAAGACCTTGATGTTAGGAAAGTGTGACGGCAAGAGGAGAAGGGGACGACAGAGGATGAGATGGCTGGACAGTGTCTGCGAAGCAACCAACATGAAATTGACACAACTACGGGAAGCAGTGGAAGATAGGAGGGCCTGGCGTGCTCTGGTCCATGGGGTCACAAAGAGTCAGACACTAAACGACTAAATGAACGAACGAACGAACGTGTTACACGCTCACTTCAAAAATCTTTCCCATGAAATACTACCTTTCAGTTCTGCTATTTTCCCCACAAGTACGTTCACACCCAGTTATTCTGTGGTTATTTTGCAATCCTACAGAGATGTCTAAAGACCACTTGTTGGAATTTGCACATACCAGTAAAATCAGCAATATCTGACAGCACCAACAAGGTGATTCCTTTTTTTTAGATCAAAAATCTAAAAAATCACAAGCACACTCACAGAATGTCCAGATTTTAAAGCTGCTGCTGTTATTGCTGCTGTTGCTAATTACATTTCTTCAGGTACCTTTCTTAAAAGTCTCAAGGTGACTTCAACAATACTAAGTACAAAATCTAAACAACAAAAATGACTCAATTATCCATATACAAAATACAACAGCCCACATAAAATAATTGACAAATCTGTGAATTATTTAGATAACTAAGCAAGTTGACTCAGCTGATGCTTTGAAACAGGCCATGTTTAGTAGTAAAGGAAAATCTTTCACTGGCATTGAACAGTTGAAAGTATCAGTACCGGGCAAGCCTCCTTAGAGACAATGTTCCATAATGGGGCATGGGGGGGCACTCTCCTTTGTCACTGTTGGCTGAATCTCCTTTGGAAGAATAACTAGGAGGGGGACCTCAGATATCGATCTTGGGGTAGTGAAAGCTAGTTACTCTCTAGTTAAGCCCCACTGATTTCAGTGAGAACTACTCTTATGGAAGTTGATATAGAGACATATGTGTAAAAGTGGACCAAATCAAGGGGCTTGTGCAATTCTGGAACAACTACAGGGAACTGGCAAAGAGCTGAGCTTCACCCTCCAGTGAGGCTACACCACAGCAGTTCCTTCAGATTCTATTCCTAGGGTCCTATTGTTACTACCATCTTTGATGACTCCACTCTTTGGGGCTGCAGTATATACTGAGATTTTGTCATTGTTTTGTTTGCCACATTTCTTGACATACTTTTGTTAGGATTTGATAGATTCATTCTCTGTAGCTTGAAATACATCTATTGGTATTATCTCTATTCATGTTGATTTATTTCTTCCAAATGCTTTCACTTAAGAGTCTAGCTTCTTGAAGATATTGTGATAATATTCCCTGACAAATGCAGCCCCCCCTCTTGTGCATCCAAGAAGAGTAGCAAATGAATTTGGGATGTATTATTACCATTGTTAAACACCAATGCTGTTGATTTTCTGAGTAACAAACAATGTTTTATATTACTGCAGTTCATTATTTTGGGTATTTTGGGAACTGGCCATTTTTACCATTGTTAATCCATTGGAATGATTGTTACATTTCTAGACATTTTGATAAAGGTAGAAAAGTATTTTTAGGAACAGTCTTCTCTAAGCAGAACACCTTCCCAACAGGAATGAATGAAAGGTAATATTAATCAGGAGATTGCCCACATAGAATTGGACAAAGGAAATGTTTACTGCAAGAAATTATGTCTGTGTTTTTGAAAAAAAGATATTTTAATAATTCAATTTTTAAAAATTATGCCTAGTTTAAGCTGTGGCTTCCATCAGCACCCTCTTGCTGCAAATTTTGTCCCAATCATTTTCTTGTACAGTAAAATAATTCCTCTTTTTTCTTTATTTCCCTCAAATGCTATGAATGATTCCTGATGGGCAGCTCCTTGCAGATGGAAAAGGTGGAACAGCCAAAAGACAATGTGTGGTGGATCCATCTTTTCCTCTTTAATAGGAAATGACCAGTATTCTTCTGCGAGTCCCAGTTAGAACAAACTTATGGACCCAATTGGATCTGCATAAGTGTTGACTTAGAATTCAGAAATTGATTCAATTGATTCAATAAAGATAAGATAAAAGATGGAAGAGGCAATAAGGAAACATGGGAAGAGAATGAACAGAAGATAGTACCATTTGAACATCCCATAAAGGTCTGTGAACAAGGCAACTGATAAGGTCAATCTTGCAATACAAACTTCATCTGCAAGAACTGTGCTTAAGTAGAAGAGAAGGAAAATTCTGTACCAGATAGGTTGCCAGAGATAAACTGGTGCGGCCACAGGCATCTTGGGTGTTGATATTGGCTCCCATCTTTAATAACAATTTCACTGTATCGAGTTGGCGTCCTGAAACAGCGTGCATCAAAGGAGTGCAACCTTGAAAAGACAAGAAAAAGTGAGAGCGTGATCAAACAGAAACATAGATCACAATTTGGACCTCTTGTGGAGTGTTACAATGTGACCTGTTTGCTGGTGATCACATGATGAGCAGAGAAATGGGCTGTTGCCTGACCATGATCCAGGCCCAAACTGGACCTGTAGAGCTGCTACTTTGGGGGGCTGGGCTGGAGTGATATCCCAGCATATAGTAGGGTTGCTTTAAGGAAAATCGCTCCCATTAAAGCAACCCGTTCTGGTGTGAGTAGGTCCATGCTTTTGAAGCCTTCTGATTGCACTCTCAATTTGGTCATGATATAAAAAAGGAGACATTTTATTAGCATTACTGATATATCAAGTATCTGGTTTTTAATAAAGAGACCTTGTTATATTCATAACTGTAATCTTATATCTCAGAGATGGAAGTCACAAACTCCATATGAATCAGTTACATTGCATTTGTGACAGCTGAAGGATGGAGGGGAATTATTCTTTGTCTGATCATCTTTGCAAGGGAAAAATAGGAAGGAAAATGAAATACAGGTACTGAAAGTGAGCATAAAAACATATGTTCCCGGGGTCATTTTAAAATGCTGTCAATGACCTTTGAAGCCCCTTGAAGGCCTACCTGCATCTATAGGAAACCACAGGGGAAAGGAGCATGCAGCCGCCTCAAATGTTGTATAAAGGAATTGTGGTTTCCAGAACACCATAACATGGTCTACCCCAGATCTACGTGAACTTGCTCTGGTCCTAAAAGTGTTAGAAAGATTTATTAGGTTGGTGGGCATAAGAGGGGAAAAAACTTTTTGGTGATTTAGCATGGGCTCTTTATACACATTTCTTTCCCTGTTGTTGTTTTTTAACAGGTCTTAAGAACCTGGATGTACCAGTCTGTTAACTGGATTGATTATCATATTTCTTCTTCAGTATTCTTGAATGGAGTATCCCCCAACTTTTAAGCTATATACTCCTTGAGGTCAACTATCATCCCACTGTTGCTTGTATTCAAAATACTTTTGCAGATGTGAGGGGCTGGGGGACCCAAGGGTCCTGAGTTTACAAAATGGCCTTAAGGACTGACTGTCACCAACAGGTTGAATTTTGCCCACCCCTAGTGTAGAGTATCTTTGCATCCAGTCCTGTCTCACCAAGGCTATGGAACAAAATACACACTCTTGAATCCATTTGAACATCACTTCTTCGATCAAAGCATTCATGGGAGTGGAATGGGCATGCTGAAAACTGGTATTCTGGTCGCTGCATGTGATTTGGGCCTATTACTTTCTCAAGTCTAGATGCAGTCATACTGTTTAAAAGTAATTAAAATTTTGTCCTCAAGTCTGGACTTCCTATAAAACAAAATTCCTGTCATGATACTTGCTTACAGTGTAGAAACTCAACAAATCATCATTTTTTCCCAAAGATGATAATCTACTCTACAGTAGAAACTCAACAAATCATCATTTTTTCCATAGATGATAATCTACTCTATTTCCCCCTTCACTCAGGGTACCTACCAGTTTCCTGTTTGTCTACCATCCTTCCCTAGTTCCTTTTTTATTAATGAAAAACTCTTTGGCTACATAGTTACAAATGTTGTGAAACTGAATAGGACAAATTAAAAGCAAAACTTTTGAGACAAGTCATGATAATGAAGACATGTCCTTGTTTCATTATTAAAGCACTGGCCAAATTACTTTCTCTTTTTTTTCAGCAGGACCTTTAAAAATGCTGGCGGATCTTTATGGTGTAACTCTTTTGTGGCATTTCAAAGCTTAGATTTTGCAAATTCTATCTCTTATATTGGGAAATAACATGCTTCTTGTTTCTCCCAGGGTTTTTATGTGTATTATACGTCTCTCCTGAATGTTACTTTGAATGGCACAGAAATATACAAATAGGCTATTTAGCTAATTTAAATGTTGAGAAGAAAACAGCGCTAGCCAAGGGCATTTTGTTGCTTGACGGAGAGCAGCAAATAGTTTTTCCATTCATAGAAACACAGATTTCAGGGTGAACAACCTCCTTCTCATGTCAGTCAGAAACTGCCTATCTTTAATCACCAAAATTAAGCCAATTTATTTTTGCATCTGAGAGAAAAATCCTACATGCACCCCAAACTATCTCCAATAGTAAGAACGGAAGAACAATAAAACAAAATTTGGAATTTGAACTCCCAAAATTTCTATCCCCAAGAGATCAGTGGTTCCCAATCTTGGGTCCTTGTGTGTTCTTGGACTAAAACTCCCAGAAGCCTTCACCACCACCTCTGCTGGCCAGGATTTCTGGGAGCTGAAGTCCAGGAACATCTGGAGGCCCAAGGTTGGGGACCACTGCCCTAGATCAGTGGTTCCCAATCTTGGGTCCTTGTGTGTTCTTGGACTAAAACTCCCAGAAGCCTTCACCACTATCAAGGCTGGCCAGGATTTCCTGGAGTTGTAGTCCAAAACAGTAACTTTTCCAAGCTATGAAATGAAGTTCCCTAGTTTTCTGTGAATAAGACACCCCCATGCATAAGATACCCCCCTTTACTAACCCAAAATTAAGAAATCACTATTTTAAACATAAAACAGAATACATTATTATTTAGCAATTAGGTAACATTTACATACCAGTACTGTCATTTATTTTATTTATTTATTTGACTTATATGATGCCCACACTACCCAAAGATCTATGGGCAGTTTACAACAATTTAAATGCAATAGAAAGATAAAAAGATATAAAACAATTAAAATACAATTAAAATACAGTCATATTATGCATCACACTTTAACTTTATTCAGCCCTTTCACACTTTAACTTTATTCAGCCCCTGGGCTCAGAATGTTTGGACATTACAAGTCCCTGTTGCATCTAAGCATAGCCTACATGCTCCACCTCCAACAAGGTGTGTTCCAATTGGTTTGTTCAACATCAGCTGACATCAGTTACATAAGGCTCATGATTGGAGGAAGCTAAGTCTGCTGACTGTAGGAAGCTAAGCCTCATGATTGGAGGCAGCTAAGCCTCATGATTAAAGAAGCTTGTTTGCAGAGGTAAGATATGAGACATTTTGTTCTCTCCTCAGCTTCCAATTATAAGATGACCCTCAATTTTTAATCTAAAATTTTAGACAAAAGTATTGTCTTATACACAGAAAAATACGATAAATAACTAACAATTTGCTATACTTTCCTGGGACACAAAATCTGTTGCATCAGATATTCCTCACTTTGCCTCATGGTACAAAAAAGGTCAGTGTGGAGAATACTGCCTGGAAAAGCCAAGTGAAAAGTTTTTCAGACATAGTGAGGTACATTACTAGTTGTGCTGAACCCCTGTTGTTTAGTTGTTTAGCAAGTCATAACTATAATAGGTCCATTGAATCAGTGGGGATTAGGTGAGTCAATGCCCCCAGAAGTTCCATTGATTCAAATAGGTCTACTCTAGTTGTGACTTACAAAGCTAAGCAATAGGATTTCAGTCATAAGATTCGTGACATGGATTTTCACTACTTGTAGTGCTTTTAAAAAGGGACGCGGTGGCGCTGCGGTCTAAACCGCAGAAGCCTGTGCTGCAGGGTCAGAAGACCAGCAGTCGTAAGATCGAAACCACGCGATGGAGTGAGCGCCTGTCGCTTGTCCCAGCTCCCGCAAACCTAGAGGTTCGAAAGCATGGCAATGCAAGTAGATAAATAGGGACCACCTCGGTGGGAAGGTAACAACGTTCCGTGTCTAAGTCACACTGGCCATGTGACCACGGAAGATTGTCTTTGGACAAACGCTGGCTCTATGGCTTGGAAACGGGGATGAGCACCGCCCCCTAGAGTCGAACACGACTGGACAAAAATTGTCAAGGGGAACCTTAACCTTAAGTGCTTTTAAAAAGTACAACTTGGCAACTTTACCCTGAAATTATTACTTCATTGTGCACATCTGATGTTTTGTACTGCAACTCCCATCACATGAGATAATTGGTTAGGCTACATGAGCACTGATGGGATTTGTAATTTCAAAAACTAGAGGGTAGTAGGTTGCTTACTCCCATTTTATTTTGTTTGTGGCTAGTAGCAAAACTATTAGTGAAAACAGCTAATAGCCCTTTGGTGTTTCAGATGCTTTAGCCCACAACCACAATCCTACCCAACATGGCCAATGGTAAGTGACAAAGATCCCGCATCCCTGACTTAGAATGTGCAGCAAGCAAGAAGAAAGCGAAGTGCTATTTTACCTTCACTGTCACAGCACTCTAATATTGATGGATCTTCACGGATAACAGCAGTCAAAGTATTGCTATCTCCATTAGCTGCAGCTTGATACACCACATTCAGGTCAATTTCTTCTGAGGAATCACCTATGAAAATAAAAACAGCATTACAGAGAAGAATTCTGACTCTTGCGAACTCAAAGCCTGCGTCTTCCTTTAGGAAGTCAATCCATCTCTTATATGGTCTTTCTCTTGTCCTGCTGACTTCAAACATTCCCAGCATTATTGTCTTCTTCAGAGAATCCTGTCTTCGCATAAAGTGCCCAAAGTAAGACAACTTCAGTTTCAGCAATTTTGCCCGTGTGTTTCTTGCATTTGCCATGTTGCATAAATCACACAGCAAAACAGATGGACTAGGGGAGCACTGAAGGCTGCTCACTTCATCTCTTACAGCATGGACATCTGGAACCAATTTGCTAGGGAAATTTGTGATCTCTGGCAACCAACTAAAAATCACATGGGGAGACCAATATTGGTAGTCGTAAAATTATACTTTCTTGCAGACTCAATTTCCAGCTTAAAGCCAATGTGAGGCTGGGCTTGTGCAAGGCCCATAGACTCCTAGAAAACCTGCTCCCAATCCCTAGCATCTCCTGGCATTTTTTCTTCTTCACCTCTTTGGTGTCACAGTCAATCTGCTTGACTTACCTGAGAAAACAAGCAGTGACAAAACTAAGGAGAAAGAGCAGTAACCTTGGCCTGCCTCGTTTCTTTTTCTAGGAGGTCAAGTTCTTCAAGATATCGATGGGGGGAAAAAACACAAAAACCACTGTCCCCCATTTCAAAATCATCTTTATATACATCTTGTTCGGTTCATTTTTAACACACTGCATCAGCGTTCCTTTCTGGAATTGCTTCACTGGTCTGTGAAAATGAGGAAGCTCAGAAGGAAGGGATGGTAGCAGGCTGCGGTTTTGTCTGCCTGTCATTTTCTACCTATGAGAAATCCTCAAATGCCATGGCAACGCTATGTGGAAAACCCATAACAAGACTGCTGAGCATATGCAAGCTTTGCAGGTTTCAGTACCTTTGAGACTTTATATCAACCCCTGTGCTCCTCTTATGCCAATTTGCATGATTACAGCCCCAAGCATTTGTCAATTGGTGGCTGTGATTTTTGTGCTGGTGAATCAAAAGGTAGCCTAGCAACTGATTTGTTCTTCAGTTCAGATGAAACTACTCAAACATGCTGTGGCTTTGGGTAAGTACTCAAAAAAGATTGCATGGCCTGGATCACTGATAATTAGGGAGGGTGTCATATCAAAAACCACGTAAGCTTGGCTCAATCCTTCAGACTCTGCACATTTGGACCTGTGTGTGGGATAAACACACAGAGAAAGGGTGAATTATTACCACTCTGTTGGCTCTGTCTCATGAATCTGCTACAAGATCTGGTGAAGCAGGTACCTCTGTGTGTGTCACACCATACACATAGTGTATGTCCCATATAACTGAGACTGCTGGGTGACTGGTGATCCTGACTGCATGGAGTGCCTATGCACAGATCTTTATGAGTGAAGCAGATGTTGCATAACTTTGAAGATGTGGTGCTGAAAACTCAAATACTGTATCAAGGTTGAGCACATGGCAGGGACATAGTCCTATTCTTCCCCTTGAGGTTATCCAACACACAGAAATAATTTAACTCTCAATAGAGCTTAGCATAGGAAAGGGAAAGGAAGTGGGATGTTTACATTTTAGCTTAGTCCAGATTTAGTGTAGAGACAGATGAGAATGCAGATTCACAGTTAGAAGTGGAGCTGCCTTAAGAAGTAAGAGATACCTGATTACTCTGTATGATTGCTTCACGCATTTGCAAGCTGCAAATTAGCTTTGCAAGTTGAAAATTAGCTCATAAAATGAAATGTGGTGATTGGTAATCAGGAGATAAACAGTGGGATTTGATTGCACATGCATTGTGCATTTGTTATTTATTTATTTAAAATATTTTACCCTGCCTTTCTCCTTAAAAGGACCCAATTTCTACAGTTGTAGATGTACAAGTGTAAAGACTGCATCTCTGGGCAATAATGTTTTGCCATTTTCTAACCACAAAACTGCCATCCTGACCATATCTCAACTGCATCAAAAGAAAATAAGCATGATTGCTTTAGGCCCACCTGAAAAGGAATGAAATGGCACCCAACTTCACTTTTGAACATTTGATACAGTGAAATGTGATTGCTGATCTCTATATAGAAGGATCAGGAAGAAGTAAGATCCTGGGAAAGATTCATGTATGGAAATTAATACTTAGAAAGGAAGTGGAGCGTACAGAAATAAGCCACAAGGCTTTTTTTTGGGGAACATATTGTGGAAGTGGCCAGTGTTGGATCTTCTCCAGTTCTTTGGCCCAACAATGGAAAACATCCACCAAGTTTGTCTAGAGAGTGTAAGAGTGCATACTTTCCCAATACAATGGCCATTTGTATGACATTTCAAAAAGAGAGAGAACAAATGCTTTACCTAAAAAAGAGTCCAAAGAAAACAAATATTATAGTAATTAGAAATACAGCTCAGCACGTAGTATAAGACTATGGCCTGCTGTTGATGGGCAGTTTCAGACTTCTGGTGGTCTCCTTTCTTGTGGTTCTTTATTTTGAAATGGCAGAAAACACATTCAAATACAGGGATGTCCTCTGGAAAGTAGAACACACACATATCCTCTTTCCTACCAAATCATGTCACCATCCAATTTCCTGCTGGTTTATGGGTTTCTCACAAGCATGAATGTATAATTAGTTTATATCTTGCCAATTAATTGGAGAGGACTTATCCCTGAACAATGGCTTTGCCATTGGGAACACATTCAAGGCATTCATTGTGGAAGTGGCCAGCTATATTACACACTGGTCTTCTAAGCATCCTATATAGCACTTCCCTTTCACTCTCAGAAATAGAGCTGAAGAGGGTCTCTCAGCCTACAATTGCTTGCTCAGCTCTGAAGGGCTTTCACATGGAAAACTGAGCAATCTTTGCTGCTGCTTCACAAGGTACCACCTAACCCCTGGGTTCAAATCACAAGAACAAAAGATTCTAAATAAACATTAGGAAGAGCTTTTCTGGTGACAAGAGCTGTTTGACAGTGGAATGGTTTGTCTCTGTAAGTGATGGTTTGTCTCTTTCATTGGAGGCGAGATGGGATGGCCATCCGAAAGTAGTGCTTTTAGGTGTGGGTTCCAGCATTGCCTGAGAATGAGTTAGATTCAATTACCCTTGGATTCCTTCCTTCTCTACAGCTCTATGATCTATGAAATGTTCAGAAGCTGATGTATATAGAGCCCCCTACACACTTATAATGGAATTACAAGTGTGTAGGGGGTTCTATATACATCAGCTTCTGAATTTAACTTTCTATTAAGAGTTAAATTATCTCTGTGCTCTGAATAACCTCAAGGGGAAGGGGAAGAATAATGGCATGCACAGGGTCCCAATATAATTAGCATGAAATGCTGGGGGAATCCTAGCCTCTTTCTCTGAACATTCATAGGAGATCAGAAAGAGACTCTAAAGGTTGTGTAAAAGAAAACAACATGGAAGATGTACACATATCACCACATGTGATCTGTGCATTTGATTATACTGAATGTACATTAGCAATGGTGGAAACTGCTGAAATAAATGTTCAGGGCAGTGAAGATGATGGTCAAGGCTGGTGAAGGACAGTGTACAGATTGCAAAGGAAACTGGCTGAATCCTCCACTTTCCAAGCACCAGAACACATGTGTAAAGAGTGGACATCTTCATACAACCCATCTCCACCACAAAATATCTGCACAAAATAGGTCTCATATACAGGCTTGCCCTTTAATGTTTTTCTTACGGGTGTTAGATGATTCTGGTAGTTGTAGTTTTAAAAGGGTTAGGGTTAGCTCTGTGTGTGAACATTCATCAAATGATTCGTTTGTTCAGAAAACAAGAAGTGCAGGGCTACTTTCAAATCATGCCTTTGGCCTAGGAGCCCGTTTCCCTATGTTTCGTTTATGCAGGAGCTGCTTGTGATTGCTCTGTGATGCGAAAAACTCTACACATTCTCAGAGACATTTGTGGGGGTACAGAAGTCTGGTTTCATTCTGAAAAAGCAACAGACCTCTAGTGATGAGCTGACAGCTTTTGAAACAGAGATCAGACAAAGTTATGGGGGACTTATTTGTTGGTAGCTATCAGCCTTCTTGGCTAAGAAAGCCCAGCCCACCCCCATTATTAAGGACAAAGTACCAGAACTGAAAACAGGTATACAAACAGACAGAACAAGAAAAATGTTCTGGAAAATGAATACAGGGTCTTCATATACACTTGTTCCTTTTCACACATTCCCATGAAGCCAAGATGTTTCCATTTGAGCCAGATTCCACTTTCCCTGTGAATATTAACTTAAAACCTCATACAGTATGTGTAAACATGAGGCAGAGGAGATCACCAATATCATGTTTTATACTTCGATGTAGACATAAAGAATTAAATACAATGTCAGTGTCATCTCCTGGCAGCTACTCATTATTTTGGTGGATATGAAAAGTCAGATGAAAAATTCTACACATTTTTTGAATTGAGCATTTAGACTAGGAAGTCGTAAAAGAGATGAACAGAAGAGCCAAAAACTAAAATTCAGCAATGTCACACTAGACTAGTTTTTATTTCCATAGTAACCTTTCTTGAAGCAATCTACCTTTGCTTTAGAAATTGCTTTGTATAATTAGATAGGTTAGCATGGCCATGTTCCGGCAATAATTTTAAGGATGTTTTCAAAGAAAATAACATCTCTGGACACGGAGAGATTAAATACTTACAGCCTGTAATTTCATAATAATTCATTTATACCAGGAAATAGGACCAGTTCCTTTATAAAACACAGGAACTAGTTTTTCAATGGTGCCTTTAACCTGTTGTAGACAAAAATCTCATCAAACAGAAGACAAATGGAAACTCCTCTTCCTACTTGCATTTTACACAGCAAACATAAATGGCTGCCTTTAAAGAAGAAAGAAGAGGGAACTCCTTTTAAAAACCAACGTGACATGAGAACAAGTCTCATATGACAATTTGATATGAAATGCAAGATACCCTGGATTTCTCCCCTACAATATGAAGCATTCTGTGTTATGTCCATGAAAATACAATCTCAACAGGAGCATAAATACGAATTCACTTTATCATTAACAGCAAGCTGCTTACCTTTGGGTTGATCAAACACTGATGAAGTGCTAAAATCCATTGCTAAATGTCTACTGCATTTTCCTTAGCCTTCACAAATCACCAGAGCAATTGCCCGTATATCATACTAGGAAGCAACCCCAGTAACATTTGCTGATACCAGTCCTCTTGTCTGAATTAAATTTGCTCTACAGCTGCCTGTTAGCATAAAAGCAAATCAGCTGCCTGCCATGGAACAGGAACCGCATCTTCCATTTGTAAAAAGCCTACTTAAAAACCATCCTTTCCAAACTGACTAATGTATCACCGTATTACGGGGATAAATAAACCATCTTCAGTCCTGTGTCTGAGGAGGGCACTGCTTATAGTGCAGCGTCAGCGATGGGAATGCTGCACTTGTATGAAAAAATCTCCAGCGATGAATGAAAATCCACAACACCAGACAGAGCATGTGCAAAGATTCCAAAGCTATTTGGATACTGATGTGCTCACGGCACAGATGAAACAGCATCTGCTGTGGTGAAAAGAGAGAAGAGCATCTCCTCTTTGAAAATTTCAAGGGTGCACTCTGCAGCCCATTGCCTCTATAAAATAGGCTATAGCCAGCTGATCACATAGGTTATTTATCACTTCAGTTATTTTGTATGGGGTTGGCAGTTCAATATTACACATGCCTCCATGAAGCAGCACCCTCTGTGTTCAGTGGGGCTTACTCCCTTCGGCAGGGGAAGGAAAAATATATCCAAGTTCTAGGATTACAGTGGTCCTTAGGGAGGTATGCATGAGTTGATAATGTTGGTGGCATGTAGTATGGCAGTATGTGGGACTCACACACAGATGGATTGCTGGGAGATTCAACTTTAGCTCACACTGATATTGCCTGCATCGAGATTGTGAGGGGGAATCAGACACACACACACACACACACACACCACAAAGATGGATTGCTGGGGAGATTCAACTTTAGCTCACACTGATATTGCCTGCATCGAGATTGTGAGGGGGAATCAGATTTTACCATCAGGGGAACATCAAGATCTCAGGATGAGGGCAGGCTTTAATCTGTTTGCCCCCTGTGACTGTGAAGATTACCAATCCTATATTCCTAGTACAGTAATTTCTTCATTTGGACTGAGGTGAGGAAGAATCTTGCCCTTCAGCTCAGGCAGCAAAATGCCTAAGGCTGGTCCTGATTGCAGAGTAAAGATTTCATGTTCCAGGATACTGTGCCTGATATCCCTGGATGATATCAAGAGGCATCTAATGTTTGGTCCCCACTTCTCTGGCAGATGTATTTGGCTACTCATCACCAGAGACTCATCACCTTTCAGTTTTGGTCTGGTCCAGAAAGCTGTAATCCTGTAGTAAAATCACAACTTGAGTAGACCCATTGAATCAGTGGGGCTTTGGTGAGTCAACGTCTCCAGAAGTTCAGTTGATTAAATGGACCTACTCTAGTTGCAACCAACTACTGGATTTCAGCCAGTGTTTCAACGTTATATATTAGACCACTGGTTCTTAACCTTGGGTTACTCAGGAGTTTTGGACTGCAACTCCCAGAAGCCTTCACCACCAACTGTGCTGGCTGGGGTTTCTGGGAGTTGCAGTTCAAAAGCATCTGAGTAACAAAGGTTAAGAACCACTGTATTAGACTATTGTACCCTCCTTTAAAAATTATTGTTTTGAAAGAGCTATGGTTGTCTGGATTCCACTGACCAAGGTTCCCCCCTCCAATTAGCACATTCAGCACAGTGGGAGTGGGGAAGCTGTGGTTCTCCACATGCTGTTAGTCTGCAACTTCTGTCAGCCCCAGCCAAGAAAACCAATGATTCAAAATGATGGGAGTTTGAGTCCAGCACTTCTTGGAGCACCATGTGATCTCTGTCTCTAAAGCACAAACCAATTGGAATGTAATTTCCCTTTCTAGTGGTGTTATAGTGGGAGATCTGTGAGTTCAGCCTGAATGCTTTGAAGTCGGCTTGCATAATTACCCCCAAACAAGAGAAACATGGTGCACTGAAAGCCCAACAATGTATGCAAACAAAACCCGTGCTAACTTATTAGACACAATATACTACAAGAATTTACTTAAATACACTTAGAACCTACTCATGCATGTTATAAAAATAACCATATGAACTTTTATAATATGCAAACCACTTTAATTGAGATATGAGCAGCCATAGGGAATTCTCAACGAAACTTCAAGCATAACAAGATATGGATGAATTAAGCACATCTATGAATATATTTCGCATTTCTCATGAATCATCTTCTAGGCTTTCCAGTGGATATGTATTTATCAATATAGGAATTGTATACATTCTAAACATATATTATCTCTGAGAAATTTCCCTGGCATCCCTGTGGCTGTATATATTTCATTTAATGTGGTTTGCATATTATAAACATCCATACTGTATACATGATTGTTATTTTATAACATGGATGAGTAGATTATAAGAGTACAGTACATGCATAAATTCTTGTAGGTCATTAACACGAGTTTTGTTTATATTGTTATGCTTGAATTTGACTGAGACCGAGACCCACAGTTTGTACTAGTGACTCAGGGTCTTTACTACTCTCTTCCGTTCCGTTCCGTTCCGTTCCGTTCCCTTCCGTTCCCTTCCCTTCCCTTCCCATCCCTTCCCTTCTCCTTTAAACTGAGTGCATACAATTGGCATGCTTCTCCATCTCTTCCTGTTGACCTAGAAGAACAGGAAGAGGTAGAGGAAAAAATAAATCAATACAAACTGCTCAGCAGTTTGAGGAGGAAGAAATTGTGGAGCGTCCTTATTCCTGCCAGTACTGCCAGCTGTGTGCCATAAAGAGCAAACAAGGCAGGGAAATAGCTCCAGGGAAGTAGTTCATCAGAAAAAGCGAAAGCGAGGCAGTCAGCGCTGGCCAAAGAAATGGTGGCTGAAAAATTCTGAGAATCATTGTCCAGAAACCTAACCCAAGCCAAGCCTTTCTCAAACTCACAGACACAGAAAATCACAACTCACTTTGTACTGTATGTACAAAAATCAATGGGATCAATAACTGTATTTGTGTTTAAGACTAATAAGTAGATTGTGTCTTCCACTGCATCTAATGGTACCAGACTAGTTCAGTGGGTGAACAGCAGGCTGTGAGGCCGAACTGTCTCTATCAGACTGGGACTGAGGAGACCTGGGTTTAAATTCCCGCTTGCATGTGAAACAAAAAACTCTTGGAGATGGGGGAGGGGAGTTCCACCCCATTTCTCCTACTTCATCATGAAGCATCATGGGACTTACATCCATTCACTTTCAAATCTCCATTTAAAATGTCTCTGAAAAATGCTTCTCCTCAGGAAATCTTTGCTCTCTTTAACAAATAGGCAAAAACCAAAACCAACCTACTGTCCAGCAAGGGTCGATTTGCTAAGTTGTAGCTAAGCAAAAGCTAAGTGAATGCTTCGAGTTTGGACAGTGTGATTGAAGACTATCTTTCAGATCTACTTTGATTAGGAATCCTGCATTAAGTAGGGGGTTGAACTGGACAGCCTTATAGGCCCTTCCGTTATTCTATGAAGAAATGATTTCAGCCATAAGTGCTGTAGTGTTGAATTTTGTCTCCTGGAGCAATTTTTTTTTAAAATAACATGCCTTCAGGAGGACAAAAACTACATATACTAACTGAGGCAAGGGGAAATTCAAATGGAAAGAATGAATAATACTGTTAACATCAATGCTCTGTCTGCATGAACCTTGGCCTAGTCACATTCTGTCAGTCCAACTTATCTTGTAGGTTATTGTGCGAATGAAGTGGAGGAGGAAGAGGAGAAGCACCATGTTCATTGTCTTGAGTTCACTGGTGGAAAGGAGGGATATAAATGTGACAAACAAATTAATAAAGATAGCAGGATAATTTAGCAAGTGGCAGGCAGGCTGTACAACATACACTTCATTCTTCCAACACTGTACCTTCCTGTTATCTTTCAGTATTTGCTATCTGAGGCGACTGCCTCACATTGCTTAACGACAGAGCTGGAACAAGTAACAATGTTCTCTGTGTCCATCCAGTGCGAAAAGCAGAGACAGCATGGCAGCAGAATATAGTTGCTCCGCATGCATTGTCCTTAAACCTTGAATCATATAATGGAGGCAATTGCTATTAGGCCTTTATGTACCTAATGATGGTTTATAGAGTGAAGACATAAGATTTGAATTGTGGAAGATTGTGCTGTACCTGCAGTGTGCTTCAGTGAAATAGAAGAAGTAAGACATGTGGAGATACTGTTTTTAAAGCGTGCTGCTTTAATTTCCTAATCCAACATATTTCTTTAATAAAACAAATTCTTGCTTTCCTAAAATAAGAGATTGGGAAATTATTTGTTTCCAAAGGAGGAAGAATCCTCTGATAACCATTCCAATATTATGAGATGGAATTCATACATAGACTTAGCTACTGTTTGCTCTGCTAACACACCTGAAGGTGGAATGCTACCCTGGAGGACTTAAACTGTGGTATGACAACAGCAAAACCTCACCACTGCTCCCCATCTGGACCTGAGATAGCTGCCTCACTCTGCATAAGGCAGGAGTGGGCAATTTGTGAGTCTTCAGGTGTTTTTGACGACAATTCCCTTTGGCCGTAGCCAGTACAGACTTTGGAAAGTTCCCCATCTCTTTTCCAGTGTTTCATAAGACTGTAACAAGAGCTATGCTGGATCAATCCAAAGGCTTATCTCACCAAAAGGCCTGTTCACACAGTGGCCAACAAGGTACTCATGGGAAGTCCCTGTGCCCAAAATGAGTGTTGTGATACCCCACCACACTCACATTGCCCAGCAACTAGTATTCAGCAACACATTGCCCCTTATACTTGCAGAAATACATTGTTCTTATGATGAGTAGCCACTTGCCGGGCTTGCTGGCTTCTGATCTGCTATACACACAGGATCAGACTCTTAGCATTTCACTTCTTAATTTTTCAGCCTTCTGATCTGCTATACACACAGGATCAGATTCTTCTTAGCATTTCACTTCTTAATTTTTCAGTATTAAGAAATGATGAAAAGATGAATCTTTGCTGTTAAACTTCCAGAATTTTGCAATGTTGGAAAGTATTGAAATATAGCTCTACATGGATCTCCTTGGTTACTATAAGCCCTTTCATAGACAATTGTTGAATAAGCAAATATTTTTGGAAGCACATTGGGTATGAAAAGAACTAGAGTTACATGATCTGGTAAACCATTGGAAATTATTTCTGCTTTTTCCCCCAGGACTGTCTGCAATAGTGAGATTGCAGGGCAGAACCACATTGTGGAGCTCAGCAATTCAGGACCAAACTACTTCAGTGCTGACTCCAGATGTGGCTCAAAAATACTGTGCACTCTGATATGCACCATCA